TATGAAAAATTCTTATACAGTGAAAACCAAATTTGTCTTATGGGTTGATTCAAATGTGTATGAGAGAGAAACACAAGAATTGTGTATCCACACATGTTAGAAAGAGATGGAAGCCAGTTGAAGAGCAAAGCTTGCCATGTTGCCAATATGTTACACCAGAAAATGGTCGCACAGGCTTCTACAATAGGTTAGGTTACTGCTAAACAAATACATTTAATATTTTGTTTTCATTTTAATTAGAATTATTTATTTCAATTTTGATGTGACTTAATGTTTTAATTTATTTTAGAATTATTTTTGATATCCACCGATGGTGATAAAATCAACACATCCTGAGTTGTTGTTACACTCGCGGTCGTAAAATGAAACAAATACCATGCAATTCTGCCAAGCTAACCAATGATGCAATGTTGCAGAATTTGTGGCGATCCTGACCTAATATGAAGCTCCGTCAGAACCGACCCGGAATCGATCCTAAACAGATTCGACACAATTCACAATTGTGTACTCTCAAAATAAAATCATTATATGGGCATAGGGAATAAACTAACGCATATGCACATGCATCTTAATTCAATGAACTGGTGTAACGTCTTTACAACGTGGCAGATTGCCGAGTCGGCGTTACTAGGCAACGCGATGATGAGCTTCGCTATCCAGTCGGCTTCTATCTCTTTCTAACGTATGTGTCTATATACACTTCATCTTTCATAAACATTGAAGCAATCAGACAAATTTGGATCTCAGTGTATATGACTTTGTAATTCAAGGTCAAATGTCAGATTATAACATTGAACCAATATTTATCTTTTATATTCAATGTCTGATGTCTCCATATCTACTTCAGATTACTGCATTTTTTATTTTCCAGCCAAACAGATTTTAAGCAACATAAAAGAAGAAAAAACCTGATCTTTGAACAACAAACATTTTCTGAAGAATCGTCAATTTCCAAAGGAGGAATTTCTGAAGCAGGCATTAAGTCAGAGGCAGTAGATGACAATAGAGGCAGTACAGAATCAACCACTTCATCTCAAACCAGTACTGATGCTGAAAAAGAAAGTAGTGAAGTAAACAAAAGCTATGGAATTGAAGCTGCTAAAAACATGGTTACCCACTGTGAAACAATCAATCAAGGGACTGTCCCCCAGAGTGATGAATGCAAAAATAATGTTGGAGATGCAGATAAAAATGATAATGTTAAAGATATTACAGAGAAGATAAACATAGCTGAAAAAGTAGATCTATTTAAGGCTGTTTTTCTAAGCAGTGATGATGAATCAGAGGAAGAAACAGAAGCTTTTTCTGAAGATAGGAATGATCTTGTGGAAACTGTATTGTCAGAGCCATTGATACCCTTAGTAAGAAATGCAAAGCAAGGTATCTTGTCAAACTTGAGTTTCAACAACCTGTCTGGGGAAAGTTCTACTGTTACACCAGAAATTAAAGAGGTGAAAATAGATGTGAATGATACATCATCAGTAACATTATATGGGCCTTCCTTACCAGTACAGAAAATTAAACAGAATGTAACAAATATTCACATCAGTTCAGATAGCAATGATGAATGGATTGAGAAAGATGAATCTAAACATAAGAAACATAAAAGTAAAAAGAAAAAATCAAAAGATAAAAAGCACAAAAAACATAAAAAGCATTGAAGTTAATGTTCACTTGTTATTTTATATGTGATTTGTAAATAAAATTAAGATTAATTTATGATTTTTTATTAAAGTAATGGATGCAAAAATATAACAAACCTTGCACATTAGGTTGTGGTGGAGGTGAAAATAGATGTGAATGATACATTATCAGTAACATTATATGGGCCTTCCTTACCAACAGAGAAAATTAAACAAAATGTAACAAATATTCGCATCAGTTCAGATATTAATGATGAATGGAATGAGAAAGATTAATCAAAAAGAAAAAGGAAGATTACCATGTTCACTGCCGCTGGCTCTTATAACAGTCAACCCAAGATGTTCGCTGGTGCCACCCACTCTTATCAGAGCCAAGGTACAATACTGCCAATCTTGTAGCAAGAAGGGAATCCATATCCAAATGTTGTACGAATGTAGAACATGCTCTGATGTTCCAGGATTCTGCTTGGAGTGCAGTGACATTATTCACAAATAATGTTTTGCACTAAAAATAGTCAGCATTCACCACAAATTCATGTTTGTATTCTAAAAAAAGTTGTTTCATTTCTTATTTTCGATTAGATTTCATCACATTAGCTGTATGTATTATTTACTGGAAAAGTTTTTGTTATACTTTTATGTTCTCTACTATTTTGAGTTGCAAAAATTATTTTTAATACTTTATTTTTGTTAACGTCGAAAATAAATGTGTTTTTTTGCTTTTAGTTATTTCTATTATAAAAAACAAATAATTATCTTCCGACTCTCATAAGCGCCAGCTGGCACACAGGAAACCGATTTGTAAGTCAGTGCCGTCGGCTCTTAGAAGAGCCACAAAAAATCTTATAATTAAAAAACATTTTACAAAAATACCTCAATAACTGATTTTACAAAGTTATACTACCAAAATAACAAATTAATCATTATACAACTAATTGGCTACTGGGTAAAACCAACCGAAAAAAGGTGGCAGTTAATGTTCATTATTTGATATTGTATGTGATTTTTAAAGAAAACTAAGATTAATTTATGTTTTTTTATTAAAGTAATGGATACAGAAAATATAACAAAGCTTCCACATTTGTTTTATTCCTATACTAGCACTAACATCTTGTTCAGTCATTTCAATATGGCAAAAAAGAGTTATTTTAATAACAAAAAGAGACCTAACATTATAGAACAATATTTATTTTTCACAATAATGATTATAAATACATTCAGCATCACAGCAGTTTCCATCTATATCATATGGACACATTATTGAAAATGGATCATTTATAATTCTATTTACTGTATCTAAAGGGGAAACATATTGTGGTATGTTACCATTTGGTTGTCCTGTATCATTCATATCAGTTTCAATACATTTACCAGCAATATTATCTTTACTCATGATTTCAACTTGATCTTTGTCTGATCCATTCTCTTTATTTGGATTGGAAGTAAGGGTGTTTGTTGATATTTCATTCAATAAATCAGTAATTTTTTCAGTTTTTTTCATAGGTGTTGATGTAACTACATGATTAGCAACATTTTTGCTAACCTTCTTGTCAATTTCTTCTTTTTTAGCAACAAGTTCTTTAACATGAATTGAAAAGGTTTGGTGAGCAGCAATTGATTTTTTCTTGGCTTCATTTAGTTCTTGCAAAATCTTTTTTACCTGTTCATCATACTTTTTCCTCTCACTGCTAGAGTCTGTTATTTTTTTAATAGTAGGTAACAGACTTGCATATTTGTGTTGTATTTGAGACCTTCCATCCTTGTTCACTTGCATTTCTTTTAAGGTTTTATGCAGCAGTTTTAGATCTTCATTTATATCATTTGATGGTCCTTTTTTGTTTACCTCAATATGCTTATTTATCAAAACCCTATTTTTATTATTCTTGGTATTCACTTTACCCACAACATTGGTTTTTAAGGTAGTTTTTTTCAGTTTCATTTTTTTAGCATCTTCTAACCTTTTGATAAGGTTTTTATACTCCAGTTGCTTATTTTTTGGCAACAATTTAACACAAGATTTTTCCAATTTATCTTTTGTGCTTTCCTGTTTCAAAACTTCTTTGGCTTCAACCTTAGCTCTTTGAGACTTGAGAAAAGCATCGACAGCTGATTCTATATCAACAATATTGTTAATTGGAGGATTTGGTTTCAATGGCACATCAGATTTTTTGATAAAGCTATTATCTTCTGAATCAGAATCATCATTTAAATTTATAATTAAAGGTTTAACTTTAGGCAATTGCAATGGATGAGTTTTGAAAATTGTTTGTTTTTCTGATCTGCTTATAATTTTATATTCAGGTTTAATTAAAGGATTTGCTGTTGAAGCTATAGTTTCAGTAGATTTTACTGCAAAATTTTCAGTGTTTTTTGTCATCTTTTTAGTCATTGATGCTAACAGCAAAGCTCTCAAAACATCTTCATCCTCATCATTATCTTCTTTTTCTGTCTCTTCCAAATTTTCATTTTGCTTTTGTGGTACTTCTACATGTTCTATACAGATTACTTTATTCTGAGGTTCAATTATATTTGTATCATTTTCTAGTTTTAATTCCACGTTTTCTAAACAGTCTTTAGGGGGGGTCTTGACAATATCCTTCAATTTTCTTTTTCTATATTTGAATTTGTTAAGTACTGCTGTTTTTAAAGCTTCTGATCTTAAAGCATATAATTCAGGATCTAATTCCTCACTATTGGAATTAGATTGTTTTTCTTCTAAAATACATTCCTTTTTGGACATTCCTCTTAACCTAGTTCTTAAACTATTATTTTTTTGTTCTTCATTTGAATCATTATCAACCCTGATAGCAGCTTTCAACTGCTCTTGTAATACCTTATCTAATTTAGCAAACTCATCAGAGTCACTTTTAGACGTTACCCGTTTTCTATGCTTTCGTTTTCTGTACGTTTTTTTCCTCTTTCTGATAGGTTTTTCATCATAGAAGATTGGCGAGTCATCTTCAGAAACGCTGCTTAAATAAATAGCTGGTAAATGTTCTCTAGAAGATACAGACTTACCGAAAACTGAGTATGGTAAGGATATAGAATTATCTGAAATATCTTCAAATTCATCGTCAACTATTTCACCTTCTTCTCTCTCGGAGCTCACAGGTGAGGTCCTTAGCGCCTCGAAGGGGGACTCGTGGGTGCACTGAAAACAAGAATTCGAGGGCTCAGATGGCACAAATTATATTAATATTACCGGATCCATTGACTGGAGTGAGATTTAGTAGATCTTATGGGAAAATTATTGTTAAAAATCACAGTGAAAATGTTCTTTTCCAAAATCCACCATATATCCACCCAAAATGACGCAATTTAACTGACAGTCACCTGACAGTGACAGATCTTTGACAAGATGCCCGCTAAGCTAGAAGATGCGAAACCTACTCGGTTACAATATTCACTTATCTGTCTTACAGCTCATTGTTACTGGGATTAGAGTATATTTGGTATTATGACCAGAAAAGTAATCATGTCTACTACAGGTGTACTACAGCTCCATTCCGGATACCCAAACTTCTCAAAGAGACCTGAAATGGTCGCGTAAAAGATTCGGTTCATTAGCAAGCATTAGATTCGATTCTCTCATCACGGATCCTATAAATGCGTTTTGTGATTTGATCAAACGCAAAACTTGCGCAAAATCAAACTGGAAACATGACGTCACTCCAAAATGAGGATATAAAATATAGAATTTCCTTATTTGTATGATTTATAAAAAATATTGGCGAAACGTACATTTGGTGAGTGTATTTTATTGTACTTTTAAACATTTTACACCCTTTTGCTCTCGAACCATTTCATTGCATTGTTGAAATCAGATTGATTTTTTTCTAATGGATCAACAAATTTGATTTACCTAGTACACCCTTTCAAAATCTAATCTAATAGATATCAAGTGATTTTGGTTTGTCTAATTTAGAATAAGTACTTGAAAACAATCAGTTTAGCGATAATTTGTGTCAAAAAAAAAACTAGGCTTCTGAGACCGCTATCTAAAAATATCCAATGACTTCTCGCTTTTACACATTCATTCTGTGACATATTTTAGAAAATAGGCTATTTTTACGCATAGATAGAAAAAGACCAATGGTATCGGCGCTTCTACAGTACACTTTCTCATTTTACTTTTTACTTATTTCTTTTTTAGTGCAATGCTTTAGCTGACGATCAGATACTTGACGACGTAGAAAAATGCCTGTTTTAAGCCCCCATCGTAGTTCGGCTTCTGCTTTAAGCAGCTCTTATAGGTCAAGTCTTGGTTCATCAGCCTTAGACAGACCATTCTTCGCATCATCTTCGTATAGCCCAAGAATAACCAGTTATTCAGAACGTTATAGTACAAGGTCATTTACAGATTCAGATGGACGCAGAGTTTATTCTAGGTGAGCTGAGAAAACTATTTATTTCATAGAAAACAACACTTTTGAATAACATGGTTATGAAAGTTGTGCTTGTCAAGTTCAGCTCTATACAAAATTCATACCAGTTTAAAGTGTAAACATTGTAATTTTTTCAATAATAGCTATAACCTATCCATCCAAAGTGTTGCTGAAACAAAACATCAGATAATGTTAATTGACTGTACATTCTATAGCAGCTGAACATTACTTGAAACTTATTATTGCTAATAGCTCAAGATTCATTTGATTAGCGGCAAGATGTAAAAAAATAAAACCATCCACAATTAGTTGAAAAATAGCCATGTTTTGAATAGCAAGTTGCCGAATAATCAGACTGTGTTTTGACTCTTAATCAATAAAATATCAGAAACAAACTACAGATGTATTGGTAACCAGATAATAGAATGCAGTGTTACCATTTGTCCTCAATTCAACATATCGCTGCTTCTCAAGAATAATGACACTATCCAAAAAACCGAGAAATATTAGTTAAAATTGCAGATCGACTCCAAGTATTGACTATTTTATCAGGAATAAAGACATTTGCAATTGTTTTAAACTCTTCGCCAGAAATGACGCTAGTGTCATTGGTCGTTAATATGGGGTTTTGTCATGAATAATGTCATATTGCAGTTACGCCTTGACTTTCAAAGCGTACACTTACATTTTTCTCAAGAATAACGTCATATTAGAGCAAAGTACGCTAATAACTCACCATGTTAATCAAGAATAGTGGCATAAAGTGCATTGTGACTATCTTCCTACAACATAAAAATTCGGAAAGTGAGTCATTGAAACTACTCAATGTTAAAATAATAAGGGTAGAATTTCAACATTCTGGAACATTGTTCTACAAAACTCACAGTGAGACTGATTTTCATAAAGTTGAGGCAGATAAAAAATCTTATAGAAGGTCTAAGCAAAATGAAGCAACAAAAAGAGGTCCTAGAGTTGCTCTGTAAAGCATACAAACATAAGATTCCCATTTCAGAGAAAAGGAAAAGTGCCTTACATAATTTAGTGAAAAAATATCATACTCATACTATGAGGAATTTTACAATAATTTGTAACCAATTTTTGTTTTGCAATTGTTTTTTTTTCTGAACTTACCTTTGATTTCTTAGTTCCATGTAGCCTTTAAAATGTTGTTAGCTGTGTATCATTGGTAATATTAAAATAAATTTTTCCTCTTTGTTCTGTAACCACAAATTATTTGTCATATGTTTTTTTAAAAATGCTTTATTTTTTTAGGAATAATGTCACATTCCTGTAAAGTTGCAAAAAGAGTAATAAATTGGGATATTTTTGAAAACACTGATCTTTTATTCAGTAATCGGAAATTTATTTAATCGATAATTTTTCTAAATTCAAATTATTAACTTTATCTTCAGTTATCTGAAATTGTTCTTCAAATAATATTTAAAATGTCTCGTCTAAAAAAAGCTTTTTTTGAATAGTGTCACTATTCCTGAGAAACAGCGATGTCATTATTAATTTGTCAAAATCTAGAATCGTGCTTGCAATGGCCAATCTTACATTTACCTTATCCTCAAATATTTTCAAAATGAAAATTGCATATAATAAGGATATTGAGTGTAGTTTGAACATCCTTTGAACTATTTTTTCAGATCTGGGTCCATAACAGAAGATGGAGTTACAACACGCTTTAGAGAAGAATCTAGAGAACCAAGCTTGAGACGTGAATCTTTTGGTAGAGATTCTGGAATAAGTTCAATAAGGGAAAACTCAGTTCTAGATTACCCTAGAAGAGATAGCTCGTTGTCTAGAAGTGATAGAGTGTCCACAGTTAATGTTTTAGATTCAGTGGCCGAATTAAGGAATAAATATTCACCTGCTAATTATGTGCCTGCTTGCTTAAGGAAAAATGAGAATATTTCTAGATCCAAGTCTATTAATGATATAGGTATGATGTTTGTTTTTGTAGCACCAACCCACACAGATAGTAGTTAGCTTTTGTTCTAAAACAACACATCGTACTGTATATTTTTTTATTGTAAAACATTTCTTCCTTACCACCTTAATTGTTATGAATTTAAAAAATTATATTAACCAAAATCCTACCAAAAAATTGTCAAGTGACAAATATTTCCAACCCTGGAATTATCAGCCATCAATTTATCCCTTTAAAAAAAACTGTCTAAAAATGAAGTGGATATGATTGAAATTTGGGATGTTTTGCCAATATATATATATATTTTTTTAATCTACTATTAACCCCAATGCTCATTTTTCATGAGTTCTTTTATATGCGAAATAAGTATAATAATGATATAAAATGTTCCTAAAGTTGGGAGTTTCTTTATGCAGTATATAGTTTTTGTAAAAATAAGCATATTTTTGAATTAAAACATGCACCAAAAACTTGAAAGATAATAAAAAAAAGCAGCGTTATCAGAACAGAGCTTGGCTCAAACATGGAAAAATACGGCACGCATCAGCTACACGCCGCGAGCCGTGTAGGTAAACCAAGCTGTTTGTTTATAAATACAAACATGACATCTTCCCATAGCAATAATGAGCTAGTTGAATTGATGTGATGCTTCATGGGTGTATTCAGATTACTTTCCTGCACGTTTCCATCTAGCGCCGTGAAGGTTTGTTTATCTAGTGCAAAGACCATTTAAATCGAACAACAACAACTTTAAACATTACTTATAAGCGACGTGACAAAAGGTAAATTTTCAAATAAACAGCCAGTACTTTTCATCAATTTTGCTGTTGTTTTACCTCACACCTTTGTTATTTCATTTGTAGTTATTTCTGAAAAAGAAAGTCCTAACTTTCAGACCACCCTTTATTGTCTCATTGACTACACACTAATATTTTAATTATCGTGATAAATGTCTTCATATTTGTATTTACCAACAGATTTTTTTTTGATAAATAAAATTTTGTTGTAGGTTTGCCTCCCCTTGAGGCTAAAACGTCTAAAAAAAAGGTAACTGATCGAACTGACAGTGTTTATACTAACAGTGTGTATTCTAACAATACTAATATAACAGACAACTCAAATGATGAAGATGATAATGGAAACAGAGCCTCCGTAGCAGATCTTTGCAAAAAGTTTGATGACAAACCACTCAAACTCAGAAACGGCACATCACACCTCTCGAATAAGACAATAGAGGGCAAGCTTAAACAGCATGAAACAACAGACACAAAACTCACTAATGGAAAGTGCAAGACAAACAGTGTGAAAAAATCAAGCAATGGTTTGTCATCTGTTAAAAAGAGTGACACTACATCAGTCGAAAAATGTCAAAATAACACTGATATCTTACAGTCAAACTCTAAATTGGATGTGAATGATGAGGAAAATATAAAAAATGGGCCAGAAGTCGATAGGGATGATTTAAGGGACGAAATCACAGAATCATCTGATACCACTCCACCAAGAAGCAATTCAAGAGTTAACAACTTTGCCTCTTATATTCCATCGAAAGATTTCCAGAAGGGTGATGAAACTTCTGGAGAACCAGATACAACAGATGATTCCAAAAATTATATGGATAACAAGGAAAGCTATGTGGAGAAGATTTTACCGCAAAATGTAAGTAAACCAATGCTTTTATAGTTGTATTTATTCATACTCCATAGGACTTTACAACACTTTTTAAAACAAAGAAAAATGTACTTTTGCTACTCCAATCCGTACTGAGTCGAAATATGAACATTTATATTGATTTAGACATTCTTACATATGTGTAGTGAATGTTCTGTGTTGTGTTCGAATTTATTCTAACAATACTAACGTGTTTTTTTATGTTTTTGGACATTCATTTATAGAATTCGGAGTCGCGTTATCTACTAAACGTTTTTGTGTCATAATAACATTATTGTATTCATTGTGTCATTTCAATCAACATGTGTTATTCTCGCGGTCAACAATTTATTGACTAGCACCTGCCGCATTCGAGTCAAAATTTCCACAGAAAATGTCAAGTAGTGTCCACAAGTCAAGCCTTGGGAATCAAATTGCAAGAAAATATATTTTGGTATGGATTTAGATTTTATATGTATGTAATATTTTTTCTTCTAATTATATTTTTAATGTAACAATGGAAAGTAGTCCATATATCCTTGTTTACTTGGCACTCGTTTATATATAGTAGAGTTGCGTGGAGGCAGGCGCTATTTTTAGACCCTTTTTTTGATGCCGTAGACATACGATTATTTTTCTCTCCAAAATTTCACTGCTTTTACTTGGATTTATTAGGATCATGTGTGTAGCAAAATTCTTGGTAATCCTTTGGGTATCGTTTACTGTATATTTCAGGACCAAATTGATTTTATCTAAGAAATGCACGTCATCGGATCATTTGATTACTTGATAGTGTTTATTTTGGGACTTCTTTTCTTGTTTGCTTTATGCAGCTTCTTTATTGGTTTTCTCGATACACTTTCTGGAAAAAATTCAGATTGTCAGTCACATAAATGGGTATGTTTTACATTTTTCAAGATTACTAGAATCAGAATTTTTTTCCTGGCAAAAAACAACGGGCAACGTATCAAAAATTCTCTTTCAAATTTCAAATATCTATAGAATTTACGTTTTACAACCTTTTCAATTTCACTCCTAATTATTTTCAATGAGACATTTTTTCTAATATTTATATCAGCGAGACTCAACAATATTAATATCACTGTTTGTGTTTCTTCAATGGTGCATCCAACTGTCCCATCAACTATTGGTTTTTTTTCAGCAACTTCTTGTTGTTGTCAAAAATAGCTGCGCACCGTCGAGCACTGGCTGCTCCGCGCTCGGGAAATGAAAGTAAAAAACAAGCAACCCCACTTCTTGAGAGTCTGTGTTTATTAGACAAGGTGAAAACACCGTATTCGTGACACACATTTTCTGAATCGATTTTTTTATAATTGCATTTGCTGGATGCCCCACGAACTTGTCGGACGGTAACCCGGTGCTAATCTGTTTGCAAATTTTTTGAACAAATTACAGAAAGTTGTTTGTTTTTTAAACTCAAGACGAAAGTATTTTCGTGTTATAAACGATTTCAAATCTGGCAAACCCATTCATTGCTTAAATACTAAAAAAATACTATTTTTAAGGTTACAAAGTGCCCCAAGTTGAAACCGTACCCTCCAAGAGTTTAGAAACAAACTAACCCCCAAAATAATCTTTATAGCTTCGGCAGACATTCGCGAATATTTGAGAGCAATGGTGTTGCCCTATATTGTTTTGACACACGAAATGTACCCGCGTTCCTTGGAAGAAAAGCAGCTCGTGTAACTCAGAAGGCACTTCTCTCATCAATAGAAGTCGAAACATTTGTAATCGATTTTCGTATCTAATAATATTGGATTTTTGACGCAGTTTACAGATAAGCACTTTTGTGTTAATGTTGCAGGACCTGTCAGCATCATCGCCTAAGCTACAGCGCTCTGCCATATCGCCATCGAACTCAGTAGGTAGCAGCCTCAATTCTAATTCTCTCTCCCGCCGATCCAGGCCTGACACCAACCATCACGTCCGAGATTACTCGGACGATGAAAGTAGCAGCGGAGAGCGAACCAACAGTTACAGCCAAAGGTACATAATTTTTTCATAAAAATAGAATACAATTTTTACCGACGCTGATATGGATTCATGAAAGGCCAGTAATATCGGCCATTAATAGATTAGGATTTGTCACCATAATTGCATAGTTTTAGTCCATACTTTTGACACATTTTTGACTATCAAGTCCTACCAAAGTGATAGCATTGTAACACATAGTAATAGTTCTTACCAATGGAAGCATCTACCTTCATTAGGCTTGTGCAGCTCTTTGCAAATTATGTAAGAAGTACCATGTATTGAAATCGCTTGACACCACAATTACCTGAAAACTCTCGCAACTTTTAAAAAATAACACCAAATATATGAATTTAATTAGAGAACTTTCAACAAGTTGATGTGACAAGTGTATTTTAATCCTCACTACAGACTATGAGAATAAGATGTCAGACAAATCTACTTAGTCTGAATTTGTTGCTACAACCATTTGGATATTCATAAATAAAATGTTCGGCACAAAATATTTATCGGATTTTTTTAATGAAGAAATTTATTCAAACAATTACTAGTTATCATGAATTACAACTCGACACTTAACTACACTATACTATCGAATTATGTGGAGTGGTCCATTCTGCTCTACCAGATGTAACTCTCTTCGAATGTCCCTCATGAGGTCCTGGATGCAATTCAGATCAATGTGTCTCTCAGTTTTTCGTAAATTCGCCGTCTTAGTTGTTCTTCATCTTGGGCTTCCCAGCTTCCATGATAATCCTTCCTAGACAGTGAAGTCCAAAAATCCTCTATTGGGCGAGCCTGCGGCAAGTTTGGAGGATTATCGTTTTTGGGAACAACAGGTATGTTGTGTTGTTGAAGCCAGTTTTGTGTATGTCTTGAGTAATAATATGAAGCTAAGTCTGGCCAAAACATGATATGGTCATTAGCATGATGTTCATGGACAAACTGAAGCAATTTGGAAAGGCAGTTATCAGACTATCCAAAGCTTCGCAACTCACTCTTCCCACAAAAGGTTGGGATACACCCCTGTCAGAAATTGCACCACACTTGAGAAACACTTACTAATTTACAGTGCTCTGAAATTGTTCATGTGCCTCTCGAATGCTATTAAAAAAAATCATCAATTTAAAGATATTCCTCCCTGAACTTGAAAACTTCCTAATATGTAAACCATATTATACCATGTCCGAGTTCTACAACTCATTCACTCAAGGTCCACATTATGGAATTTTGTTTTAAGCATTAGCTTTTTCATTAAGAATGGTTGTATTTTTCAGACAATAAAGCATATTTATCTATTAGAATATAAGATTTTCCTTTGGCGGTTGTAACAAGTTAACTTTGAAATTTCTTTGAAGGTGAGGTCACCTTTGAATTCCTTGCTAAAAGTTAATGGAGAAGATTTTTTTCCATCAAGGTCAAAAGTACATGGAACGTATTACAGCGTAAAATCTTCCATAGCCAATGTCTAAGAAGGTTCCTAGTTAAGAAAATACCTGGAAGTGGCTGAAGATGGTTTAATCCGAGGTCATGATTAAAATACTTCACCTTTAGACGTGATCTGGATCTTATATTTTTACGTTTTTAGATTGCCAATGTCAAAAGGGGCTTTCCATTTTAAAAAGTAAAACTCGACCTAGAAATAATTGGGGCTCAAGGTCAAATCCAAAGTCACCATTGAACTCCTTGTTCAAAGTTAATATAGGCCTGACCTTGACTTTTTTCAAAAATACCTGGAAAAATAGATCCGGTGCTCCATTGCTATTGTTACTTTTGGTATGGATGATGGGAAGATAACATCAGAACTAATTTTAATGGTCGGAATTCAATTCATATAACTCTGTAGCTGATCATATTATTATTCGTTTTTGAGCCGTTTGAAAAGATTAATTCCATATTAGCTAAATATTGAAAAATGCCATCGTGGTAACAGTCCCTCGATTCGATTATCAACTTTTTTTGTGACTTATCTACGCCTATTATTGTATGTTGAATATATAACGTAAGAGAATCGCATAGAGACAACTTATTATTACATGACTATGCTTACATCTCCTCTATCTTGATTTGGATGGAGTTGAGATTCTAAAAAATACACCCGATATTTGTTTTTTAGCACCATTCGATCAACAGCCGCCTCTGCTAAAACTCTCGGCCTGAATGGATTAAAGAACATTGGAAACACATGTTTTATGAACAGTGTCATTCAATGCCTCTCAAACACAAGATGGCTACTGGAATATCTTAAAAAGGATATGTACTTGAGAGATATCAACACCACTATCTCCGGTATGAAAGGGGCATTAATAAAAGGTAATATTTTTTTTGATCTAGTTTCTAGTTGATCATAGATTTATCTATTCTTCAAGATGTCCAACCCTATGCTGTATTTGGATGTTCACATATATGTAGCTAAGTGTGATGGCAGTACTTCCCTTAGAAATAACAAAAAACAGACCCTTAATTTTACTATTTTCCTTTTAAAGAAAATTGTATATTAATAAACATGTACATCAACCTTACAAGGAAAGATCACGCCTCAACCTTTCCAGTAATTGTTCCTAAGATTTTGGATTCATCTCATAACCTGATGCAACAGTACGAGATGTGCCAACCCTGACATTTGAAGATGATGCATAATAGTATATACCCTATTTCACGAGTATCAATCACGCTTTGACGTCAACTGAGGTGATCAGCAACTGATATTTTTGTGTTAGTCTGCAACGTTGGCAATAATGGACCGCGAAAAAAAAAGCAGTAAAACTTGTTTGTGGCGTTTGTTTTTTTTGTATGCAAATGAACTTTTCTAAATAAAAAAGCTGTTAGCAAGTACAAAATGAATCTGTAGCGTACAAAAAACAAAAAATAAATTGATAAAAAAATTCGGGTCTGTCTACCTGGCGTTGACGGATCCGTCAGAATGATGTGTCCTGTGCCGATATGAGGAATTTTGAGATATAACTAATCAGGTGTCATTCTACCGATACTCGTGAAATAGGGTATAAAGTCTTTTTACACGATTATCCATTATGGTAGAATAATAATTCTGATGGATCCGCCGTACTTTGTTTTGTTTTTTTGTAAGCACAGATTCATTTTGTACTCGCTAACAACTCTTTTATTTAGAAAAGTTCATTTGCATACAAAAAAAAACGCTACAAGCAAGCTTTACTAGTTTTGCACCCAATTGATTATTGCCGACCTTACGGACTCATACAAAGATGTATTGATCAGCTAGCTCAGAGACGCCATAACGTGATGATGGATACTCGTGAAATAGGATCTATTTGACATGTTGTCTAACCAAGGTCATTTTTTAGCATTTGCCGAAGTGATAAAGGAACTATGGTCAGAAGATTCCTCTGATCGCGTTGTGAACACGGTATCACTGAAGAGCCAAATCCAACGATTTGCGCCTCGTTTCATGGGTTATGCCCAACAAGATGCTCAGGAATTCCTTCGATATCTGCTAGAAGGCCTTCACGAGGACGTTAACAGAGTCACAGAGAAACCAAAGCCTATTTTAACAGAAATTGATGACAATTTGAGGTACATAAATATTTTTTGTAGGTCGTAGATCTTGTGTGTAAATTAAATGGCACATATTTTACTCATATAATCTCAATAGATTCTCCGGGATCTTGTTTTTAAATACATGTAACAATTTTTGAAAAGTATCATGTTTGTTTATATTACCATGTATAAGTGTGGGCGTTATCCATACTAATATTATAAATGAGAAAGTGTGATGTTTGTTACTCAATCAAGCCAATAAATAAATAAGTATAATAAAATTTGGTACAGAGATTAATTATAGACTGGAATAGCACATTGGCAACTTTTTTTTCCACGAAATAACTCTCACATATCTATTTGCTCTTGAAGAATTCTATTTCTGACCAAATCCAATTTGTCTATGTTTTCAAGCTTTACCTACTACTTGACTAAACATATGCGGCTCTATTGCAATTCCTTTATAGCTTGACCATCTACATCTTGTTTTAGTGACAATGAAAAAGCCCAAGAATCATGGCGGCGGTATCTACGATTGGACAATTCGAAAATAGTCGATCACTTTGTTGGACAGTTGAAGTCCACACTGAAATGCACCTATTGCGGTCACAGTTCTGTTACATTCGATCCCTTTTGGGATCTTTCTCTTCCAATACCCCAAAGGACTGGCCTCCTGAGGTTATCTCAGTGTTTAGATTCATTTACTAGAGAAGAAACGCTGGATGGTGATGAAAAACCCGTAAGTTTTCAGTTTTATCGCATGAATGTATGATCATTTATAAAGACTGGCCCAGCCACAAGTGAATTTCTCAATTTCACAGGAGGTGCTGTGAGCTTACACATTTAAACTTGGCTTGTAAGTATTCACTCTGATGCTTATTCACATTTTTATTTTTCAGACGTGTTCAAAATGTAAGGAAAGAAGAAAATGCACCAAATCATTCTCTATCCACAAGTTTCCAAAGGTTTTAGTGATACGTATCCTTTGAGTATGATTATTCAATTCATAAAAACGTGAGGAAAGAATAACTTATAGAAACTTCTATTACCTACTGTGGTATTTTCTGGCAGTTTTTTATGTTAATCAAATAAGTTTGAGAATGCGTCCATGTTCTGCAAAATACTAAATATCCCTAGTTTTTCATATTATTACATGTCTCACCACAAAATTGAAGTGGCCTTTAGAGATGAGACTGATGGATGACGCATACTTTTTCTCCTGCTATTCATGAAGATACTGACCAGGGAAGCGACGTTTGTATCGAGGAAACAGCAAAAAATATAGTTCATCCAAAAGTAATGAAACCACGCCCCCTTTCTATAGGGTGTCTCAATAAGAGCGCCGGATTTGATTTTTAAGAAAAACAATTTCTGTTCGAATTAAGCGAGTATTTATATTTCACCATGAAGAGGAATAGTTGCGATTAAACATGAAATAGGACATCCGGTAAATGACCTCCACGAAACCTCGGGCACAGGGTCAGTCTTTTCTTAAAATTCTGGATAACGTTTTTGCACAGCAGTTGTTCTGTTTCGTCGATAACGTGCCGTATCTCTTCTTTAAGGCGTTCAACTGTTTGTGGCTTGTTCGCATACACCTTTTCCTTCACATAGCCCCAGAGGAAGAAGCCCACTGGCGTTAGATCGCACGATCTTGGTGGCCAATTTTGTCGTCAAACCGAGAGATGATACGGTCTGGAATCTTGGTCCGCAATAACACCATGGTTTCGCGTGCTGTGTAGCAGGTTGCACCGTCTTGTTGGAAAAACATACCATCCACATCAATTCGATCCAACCGGGGCCACAAAAACTCGGTTAATATTTCGCGATACCGCACACCGTAAGCAGTTACCGCACTTCCAGCTGCATTTTCGAAGAAATACGGTCCAATCACTCCGCCACTCCACAATGCGCACCAAACGGTAACTCGCGGCGGATGCATTGGTTGTTCGATTATTATACGAGGGTTTTCAGAACCCCAAATTCAGCAGTTCTGCTTATTGACGTACCAGTTCAGTTGAACATGTGCCTCCGCATCAATTTAATGGTGCTCCAACGCCCAATCAACGAATTCACGGCGCTGCGCATGGTCCGTTGGCTTGAGTTATTGCGTCAGTTCAACCGGTTAAACCTTGTACGCATGCACAGATCTTTCGTCAAAATTCGTTACAGAGTGGGTCTGGTAAGGTTCAATTCTTGGCCACGATGCCGAAAGGAAGTGCCTGGATTCTCGGCCACACTTTCCCGCACTGCGACTATATTTTCGAGGGATCGACCAGGCCGGCGACGAGCAGTGGTCTTCACATTCAGCAACGTGAATTTTGGCTCAAATTTTGTAATTAAACAGCGAACTCATTTGGCGCATTATTGCGACCGAAAATTGTACGTAATTTGCGAACTGTTTCCACGTGATTTTTTCCATTTTTGTAGCGAGTTTTCACAATAATTAAACTTGCTCATTTGAATACTGCTCCATGACTTCTAATCGCGTGGTCTGGACCTGCCCGCTGTCGTCAAGTGAACACCATACCATTTGTACAAAAAAATGGCGGCAATTCAAATCCGGCGCTCTTCTTGAGACACCCTATATAGCTCCTCATTTTCATGGAATCTATACTAGTGATAGATGGCATGGTAATCATATACAGCCTTCAGAATAATGTTACAGAATGGGCCCGGATAATAAGTGTTAGGTGATTTCATTGTTTCTTAATATTTTCCATTTTTAGAAATACAGTTTTGACAATTATATTTTTAATCTTGGGTCTACAATGATGGTAACCAGAAATTTAGTCAGTTCAGGATCGTACAATTTCTATCTGCCTCTGATGGCGGTTGCCGTAGTTTAAATTGGTATGAGCCCTGTTCGTACAGCTGTCATCAGCCTGTTAGTGAATCGTGTCCCAGATCCCGCAATAAAAATTCCGTTGCGCTACGTGCCAGATTCCAGACACAGTCACTGACCACTGTACGAACAAACCTATAAACATTTTCAAACCACTAAAAATAAAGCAACCACTCAACGAATTCGAATAGACTAGAAGGAGCCAAACCTCATGTTTACATTGCATTGTTTGTCGCCCAATTTGCGTAATTTTAATGCATACTTTTGACTCGGCGTTGTATCAACATATGAAAATACTTTCTGGTGGGAACATCCTCCTTTATTAGGATTTTGCTTCTCTTTGCAAGTTATGTAAAAAAGTACCATGGCGTGGAATCGTCAACACCACAATTATCAGCAAACACTTGCACTTAACATTAAGTATACGAATTTAATGACAACTGTCAAAAAATTGAGTTGTGAGAAGTACACTTTGATCCTCACTACAGACTATAAGAATTAGAAGACAGTCAAATCCTTGACCGGCTCCTACCTAGTCTGAATTTGTTTCAATCACTAGGCATGAATCTCGAGAAAGTTAGGTAAGACTTGTAGCATTGTATATTTGCAGTTTCACAAACAATATTGTTCCTTAACACTTCGCTTAGATTTGAAACGTTTCTCTCCATTGGAACGGTTCAGAGGCAAGCTAAGCGTTACCGTTGACTTTCCTATCGAAGGCTTAGATATGAGCAATTATGCTTCTGACAGCAACGCGTCTCAATGCCGCTACAACCTGTACGCCATCTCTAATCACAGCGGCACCACTTATAGCGGACACTATACGGCCTACTGCAGGCACCCATACACTGGACACTGGCACGAATATAACGATTCACGGTAAGCGAAAAAAATAAATTCAATCTTTTTACCAAGACAATTAGAAAAGGCAAATATATTAGGTAGAGAGATAGACCTGCTAAACCAAAAACATGGCGTTCACAAAACTGCTGATCCATCACGTTGACGAGATTTATGTACATCCAGTGTTGCCCAGTGGGAAAGTTCACTTTTGATTTAAGAAAAAGAAATACAAACTAATGAAAATAAAATATTTATTACTATCAACATATCCGTAAATTTGGTGGGTTTTATTTCTTAAATGTCATTCCGTCCAAATGTTTGCCATCTCTTCGGACAAACTCTTCTAATCGCGCGTGCAAATCTGAAACAACTCTCTTGCAAAGTTCCGGAGTGATGTTTATTTCTGTCGAATGTTGTCTTTTAAGCTCCTCCAATGTTCTTGGATTATTGGAATACACTTTTGAATTTAGATACCCCCACAAAAATAGTCGCATGGCGTGAGGTCGGTTGACCTAGGAGGCCAGTGAATGTCTTCAAACTTCGATATAATTTTTGAGCTTTGCTTGTTCACATAACCACCTAAGTGAAAATGGGCCTCGTCACTGAAAACAACGTTCAAATGACCGAATCAGTTACTCGGCGCACATTTTCTTCGGTTGATACAATAGGTGTGGGGCCAGGAATAGGTTGACTAAGAGTACAGCCTGTTTCACGGAACCTCTTAATCCACCTTTTCAATAGGTTCTTACTTGGGGCATCTCTTGGTCGGCGAATGTTGTATGGTGTACAAAATTTCCGAAGGGGAGCTGCGTATGAATCACCACTCTTAAAGTAAGCCTCGATAGCCAAAGCTCGTTGCGCTACGGTCCAACGTTCCATTGTGACTATTTAACCCGCACGCGGAACGCGTCGATCAAGACCTCTCTCCACTTCCTCGCGTATACGGTTTCCGCGTAAACCAAATTTGAAATGTGAACTTTCCCACTGGACACCCTGTAGATAATCATTTTTGTATGAGTTCAATATCAATTACTTGCAGCGAAAGGGTACTATAAAAGTTTTGCAATACAGCTTTATTTATTGACTTCCTTCAAAGTAATTTCACCACATTCAATACACTACTCCATCCGCCAAAACCAGTCCTTAAACCAGCTCTGCCAAGTTTCACCCGGGAGTGCGGCACACTCGTTGTTCCAAGCCCTCAGAAGGTCCTCATCGCTAGAAAACCGTTTTAGCTTCATTTTCACATGCGGAAACAGTTGCAAAGTCGCGGCGAGCAAGATCTGGACTGTAAAGAGGGTGCGCAATAAGTTTCAGTAACAGTAGTGGTCAAATACTCGGTACAGGCTTTGGCGCAGAGAGTTGTCACGATGGAGGTACCAAGGGTCCATTCTTGACTTTGGTCGCAGGTTTTTGATAGACTCTATGACTTTAGGCAGATACTGTACCGTGTACAACTTAGCTGTGACTGTCTTCTCTGTGTCCAAAACGACACGCTCCACAATTCCGATCGATTTGAAAAATACGGCTATCAGTTTTTTCTTAACAGAGTTAGAGTTAGAGAAGTTAACTGCCTGTTGACCGTGAATTCGGTTCTCTTTAACTAATCCATAATTATGGATGCAACATTGCAGCTTCTGCGGTCTGAGGTAGTAGTAGCAGTATTTTATTTGATTTGTACAACTACAAAAGCGCAATGTTCAAATGGCAAGCTAATATATAGAGAAAGGAATGGCATAATTATTACAGCTTAAGTTTGATACAAACAAAGATAAATATGATAAAGTAAATTGGTATAGTGCTGTTTAGTTTTGTTTCCTTTTGTGGAATATCAAGTTTATAATTAATGTGAATAAATATTATTATTAATCTCTTTAGCAGATTGTAAATAAGTATCTTCTATTACAGTGGTGACAAAAGTAGCACGCAGAAAGTGAATGCAAACCTCTATTCGTAACTAAGAGGCTCATATTCAACATGATTTCTGCAAAATAGATAACATATGTTAAGTTGAAATTATTGAAATTTTCAAAATTGTTATAGCTAGGACATAATTTTGTTCTAAGGAAACCTGAAAACTAGAACAACTCTAATCTTTAGATCTTTTTATTGGGTGTAGGATTTTCCCAAATTTTATGATTGAATTAGCTTAATTTGTTTATTTTTATTTCATTTCTCTGTTCTTTTGACTTTTACGCCCAAATTTCGAGTAATAGATAAAAAATCACAGAAATGGAAGAATCTCAAAAGCTATTGATTTTCGACCATAAGGGTTGTTGCATTTTTAGGTTCCCTATCATGCCCTTGGAGGAATACGGCGAGTTACCAGTAACCCTGTGTAATCAAAGAAATGTTTGAATGTTATTTTTTTTTTCAGGGTATCTTCAATTTCTTCAAAATCTCTTGTCAGCGGTGAAGCATACGTTCTCTTTTACGAACAAGAAACAGCAAAATCTCACTTGTAAAACGAATAGATTTTATCTTTTGAAAAAGATTTTTTGATTTAAATTATTTATATAATTTACAATATACAAGATCCTCTAATATTTTTTGAAATTGGATGTATTTTTACTCAATATATCAAAACTTTTGCCCTGCTACACACATGAGTATTTTTGTGATGTATTCGAAAAAATGTTTGTCATTTATTATACGTTTATTTATTTATTTATTGTCGGAGGTGTGTCATTTTTGCATAGGTAGAAAAAACCAAACTGATATTTTTCTCCATCTAGTCCTTTATTCAAAGTCAAAGTAGTTATAATATAAAAACCCATTTATCATATTTCAACTACGTTTGACTTATAAGAATTGAAATTTATTTAAATAATTCTTTTATGCATGTACTTATCACCAAAAACAGTTGATATTGTAGAAAATACTTATTACCTGTGGAAAGATAACGCTCACTATATACATATATATTTTTTTGTAAAACTATTCTAGATATTACATAGAGTGTCTCCTACCTCGATGAAGTTACTTGCTTTTCAGTACACTAAGTAGAGGTTTATACAATTGTTACAAAAATTAGACAAATCAAGCACTTAAGAAAAGATGTCCATGAATTTAAAATGTTATGTAAAATACTTTAATAAGCTTTATATTATTGAAAAATGTTTAAAGCGCTAACTTATAATAAATTGTTTGAAAAAATTATTGTTTCTCTTAGCGATCTAATGGCGGTGCGATTAGCGAAAAAAATTAAAATCTTCGCGTTTTCCGAGTCTCCGATTATTTTACATAGCTCAAAAACTTTTTTAAAGTGGTCAATAGTTCAGAAATTTACGAACGTTGTTTTAGGTCGTAGTCAAAGTATGTTAGGGGGTTAAAAAACCAATTATAACTGATTGATGTTCAGTACTTTCATGTACCTAATATTTTGAATACATTTGAACCATTGCGTTGGCAGACTGTTGCAGTCAACTTAACTCAATTATGTGGAATGCTGACAGGTAAATATGTATAATTTGACGCTATTTTATCATCATCAGGACAGGACGACCACAGTTTTAGAATAAGCATAGTGATAAAAACACACACATGGCCAATGTATATTGAACTTTCAACATTCAACAAATAAGGACATTAAAAATCAACACCTTTCAAACACTTTATACAAATTAGGCAGATTGGCTATTTCCAAAATGGCAGCATTGTTAATAAAGCGTTTCGGAGGTATAAAACATTGCTTAATAGCAGGATATATAACATGTTCAGTTATCCATTTCCAATCCTTGTCATTTTGATTTGATTCTTTGGGAACATTTGCAAAAAAAGAAGCCAACTCTCTAGCGAAAGTTCTAAAACATTCTTTTTCCGTGTTCCAGTCAACTTCGGCGGCAACTCTCGTAACAAAAAACGGTAATTCTCTGGGATCTGGCACATAGTCATCTGAAAAATTGTATTAATATTCGCAATTATTTTATTTGCCGTATATTAATTCTGAAGCAGTTTGTCAGAAAAAAAAATCCAACATCTGTTTCGTTTGTAAGTCTCAACAACTTTGAAAGAATGGCATATTTTGAGTGCATGGATATATTGAACCAGGTTATGAAAGGTAAAACGAGAAAATACATACCAATTAATACAGGTATACTATACAGATTTCCATCTGCGTCGATTCCCAAAGAAAAATAGTCCTTCAACATCTCCGACTTATCCACCAAAATGTCCGATACTTTTCTTGCCAATTCGTCTTTATCGCCATCTTCAGGTGTCCATCCACTTTCAGGCATATCTAGGCACATCAGGGCAAGTTCATATATCGATATTTTGTTATTAAATATGTACGTATCAAAATTCTGAAAATTATACAAGATGTACTGGTAAAACATCTCTGCCAGAATTTTTCTAGTATCACAGAGGAATAATTTTGTGGAGTACTGGATCAGAGCTTGTGAAGGAGATATAGCTCCAACATAGACGTGCTGAGCGAATGTTTCTCTGAGGCCTTTGTGACAGTTGTCTTCAATGTCTTTTCGTAACTCGATAATGCTTATCAGTTGCGTTTCTACCCTGAAATACACAAATCTCATAGTGCTGGTAATAATCGTCGCCCTGCGTACGAGTTATTTTGCTTAAAAATCTGCAAACTCAAAGTAAAATATATTTTCTAATTCCGATAACAATAAAGATATTGGAATTTCCTGATATTACCTGTTCACTCTCGATAGAAATGCAATATTTTTTAATGGTGCAATATCACTTTTCTTATTTGATTTTTCGGTATCCTTTGGCATTTCGTCTTCAACCATATTTTCAATCTCCATTTCGCCATTATTTACTGTAATAGAGCAAATATGTTTGCTAAAACTTTGTATTGAAATCAATTAAGGTCACAGTAATAGTAATAATATGGGGATTCGAAGCCTGGCAATTTGACCACATTTAGCCCTTTTTACACCAATTCCGTGTGTACCAACTATAACTAACAACACAAACCGCATTAAAACTTGATGTCGCACCTGACAGAATTTGGAACGAAAGTCGAAAAATATGAATGGTCAGCTTCTCAGATCTTTTCTCCTCTCCAGCTCGGCCATTCATGTGTTAAAAAAAGAATAACATTTCACAACTAAGCCTACCTGGCTGAGCTTTTTGTTTATTCTTATCTGCTACTGAATCTTCATTCCTAACTACCACTGGTATGTTCGAATCACTATTCTGTACAATCAAATCCTCCAATTTGTTGGTCCTTGCAATAAACTCTGCATGGCATTGTTGAAATTCTTCCGCATTTATAGATTCGTTCATTTTTTTCTCATCTGAATTATTCTTGGTAGTACTAGTAGTAAAAAACTTATCCAACTTCTGTTCTTTGAAATCCGTTCTTACAAACTCTTTCGGATTAATGGTTTTGTTATTATCTACGTTTTTTTCTTTAGGCGCTTCTATTTCTACATCGTACAACTTCGGTAGTTTTGCCTGGAATCACACATTTATCTTATTTGAAAATTCTCTACAATCTGCTCAGCATTTCCTTGACTGTAATTTTTTGAGTGATTTACCTGTGTAAAAAATACTCTCGAATTATTTGATCCAAGAAGTTTTGTTTCTAGCGTAGATGTAATAGTTTCAACTATTTGCTGTTCATTCAGAAAATGAACTTCATGCTTTGTTGGTGAAATATTTACATCAATATTTCCTGGATCTAATTCTAGGCTCATGTAAACGAAAGGATGAGCATTTTTTGGTAAATATGTTTCATAAACGTGGTCAATACTTTTCTTTAAACCTACAAAGGATAGCTTTTCCATAATATAAACATAGATAATATGTTGTAAGATTAAGAATTTGTGAAAGTTGGTTTTTATAGAAGAATATAAGCTATTTTCTAAACTATACCAGGTGTTATTTTCTTGGGTTGTTTCAGTCACTATGTTTTACATTCCAAGAATGTTTTAAATATCTTGACCTTTGATTAACTTACTTTGGCAGTCAACTAATCGATGGTTGATGAATAAAAGGAACTGGAACGTTTTGGTAGAATAATTAACATTTGTCATAAATCCTTTTGCTTTGAATTTAAACTGTGAATTATCAATAGAAAATTCTATCAACTCTCTAGCAATGAGATCGCCATAGATAGTCCTAATATTCTCTACATGATTGGAACCCTGGCGAGTCCTAACATCATTATTTCCAGAATGTTTTTTCAAGGCAAAACCTAAAAATCACAAATACAAATAATTAAATTCAAGCATATAAACAAGAAGCAGCTGAGCCTGTAATGCCATGAGTCAACATTTTTAGCACCAATTAAAAGTGCGGGACCTACTTGGATGGAGCGATAATTTTGCAGAGACTGTCCGACAGCTCAAACGGCTTGATAGATTTTCACATATGAGGTGTCCTTGGATTCGTCTTAGCGGTGCGGGAGGCGCAATCTACATTAAAATCTTATACAAAACAAAATGGATTTAAATAAAAGATTTAAACCTTGTTATTCCTATCTCACCGGCTATAGCTTAAACGGCAGTCTAGCTCCACAATAGAGCGTATATCGTCACTTTACTGTAAAAACAAGATTTTTCTACATTACCTATATTTTAGTATGTTCTGTGGAGCAAGATTAACATGCTCATGACGTTCATACTGCACTACATTTATTCATCCTTATTTCACAGAACATCCTAAGTACTAACTACATGCAAGTGTGAAAAGGTACGCAACTCGAAAAGTAGAAAAATGGAGTTATCATCTTTTTGCAGTAAGCTGGCGGTATAACAAATAAACGGAAATGACTTAGTCTAAGCCACAATTTTTCTCCGTTTCCTTTTACGATTTTTTTGGTCTTTCAAGCTTTTATTCAGTTCTTTGATCCGGAAAAACATCCTTGACCTGAAAAATAGTTTCTTAGCTTTTTCAGGGCAGTGAATGTTGCTGTTCTCCAACAGAAGTTCGCCTATAAACTTTTGCTTTTCTGTCCCCATTGAATGTAGTAAACACCATATTAAGCTTCTCAATTTGATTCATGAACGCTGTGGAAGGTTTTGATAATCCACTCTCACTAAGATAGTCTATCCAGGAATAAGTTTCATCTGAGGAACTTGGTTGTCGGAATTACATCCCACAACAGCACACCGCATTTTTATCAATTCACTAATATCGCAGGGTATATAAAGTATGTATAACTAATACAATAAGTCATGAACCCACCAAAAATCACTAACAAATCGCACTATATAGTATTAACCACGATACACGTGCCCTGCAGTAACGTCACGAAGCTCCGCCCACATCTTCAGTGGATGTGTATCGTGCTTCATTCGCACTTTGGCTCTAACTTATGCTTCCTCTTTCTGTCTCTCATACACGTAATACATAACCTTGATGATTACCTGCTGATCCTGTATAGTCTTTTTCAATGGTATTTATTACGGTAGAATGACAGCTGATTATCTAGTAATATTTCAAAATTCCCCATATCAGCAAAAAACATAATTCTGACGGATCCGTCAATGCCAGGTAGACAGAGCCATTTTATACTTGCTAAAAGCTCTTTTATCCAGATCCAGAAGTTCTGCCAGATTTACACTCGATTCATTATTGCGAATGTTGCAGACTAACACAAAGATTGCTAATCAGCTGTTCACCTCTGTAGATATCAAAGGATGATGGATACTCGTGATATAGTCTTTTTCAGTACCCATTAGGGTAGAATGACAGCTAATTATTGGCTAATATTTCAAAATTCCCCATATCAGCAAAGGACACATGATTCTGACGGATCCGTCAACGCCAGGTAGACAGTCGTATATTTATTTATCTAAAAGCGACTGCCCAATTAAAGCACAGCATAGAAAATCTAATGTAAACTTAACCCTACTTTGACTTAAATATTTAACACTTAAAACAATCGCAAACACTTTACAATCGAGATCACTTCAAAATTGAAACGAATTTAACTAAAATTTAAATATATGGAGAAATCAAATATTAAATATTACAGACAGGAATCTAATTGAATTTTGAATGTTTTCTGACTTCTGAAAAAATCCAATTTATCAGAATACTGATTTGCTAACCTTGAAGATCTAGACAGGAAGGAATTACTAGCATAATTAGTACAAAATGATCTGGCATGGAATGGTTGATTCAGTCTTGTTTGACAAGAAGGCACATGGAGATTAATATTTTTCAAAAGTTCTGTTGCAAAACTAAGGGAGTGCAAAATATTATAAAATAGTGACAGGTCCCTCTGATTCTGTCTTACCTGAAGGGTTGACATATTGAGAGAGCTTTCAGTGACGGAATATCCTCAACCATAATGTTTTGTTTAAATGAAAAGAATCTTAAGAATTTATACTGCTATGTTTTTTGGTACACTAGAGATTGATTTTGTACTTGCTAACAACTCTTTTTATTTAGAAAAGCACTTTTGCATACTAAAAGCAAAATGCTACAATCAAGTTTTACTAGATTTACACCCGATTCATTATTACCAATGTTGCAGACTAACACAAAAATCTCAGTTGCTGATCAGCTGTTCACCTGAGTAGACATCAAAGCATGATGATTACTCATAAAATAGGGTATAGTAAGCCTGGGTTGTGAAGTACCTTCAAACTATGTCTTGTATGAATTCTAACTCACCTATAGTGGCATTATGTACAGCATATTTACTAACAACATCAGATATTTTCTGATATTCTTCAGCAGGGGACCTCAGAGCTTTTTTTCTTACTGGCATATTGTAAAATAAATCTTCTACTATTATTGTAGTACCCTGATTTGCTGGCACTGGTTTTGGAAGATCCATCAGTTTACTGTCAATATAAGATGCCCTACGAGTGACAGCTGGCTAAAGAAATGTAAACAGCAAAGAGCAATGTTTGCATTCATAGGAATATAGTGCTACTTCATTTAATGATCCTTGAAAGCAGATCTTTTTCTAACATATCTTTATTTTCTCATTACTTACTGATAAGCACACATACTCTGTTTTGTTTTGGAAACGATAGTCAAATGTGCTACATGAGACATACTAGCTAATGCCTCTCCACGAAAGCCATATGTGGCTATTTTATGTAAATCCTCAAATTCTGTTAACTTTGACGTGGTAAAACGTTCACAAACTATTTCGAAGTCCTCCTTCCTAATACCAACTCCATTGTCTTGAATCTATAAATTAAGATAGAATATGAATAGGGTTTCCATAATTTGGGATTCATATACTTGTATGCACTAGAGACAAAAATGGGAATCTGATGTCAGTTTTCTGCTGAATCAATGAGAAGACCCAAAACATGTGTTTTAATAATCCAACAATTTAACATACTTCATCAAACATATCTGAAATCTGTGCCCCAAATTACCAACATGAACATTCACATGTAAGCAAGGGCCAGAGCCATCTCGGATTTCACTATGACCTGAGCCTACTTCAGCTACAGGCCCTGAGCTTTCTATATACCCAGGGACCCCTACATAGCTTATGACAACCGAAAACAGGGACAATACATAAAGTTTACCTGGAGTAGCTTCAATCCTCCATTCTTGACTGTGATTTGAATGTTTGTTGATTTTGCATCAATACTGTAAAAGAATATAATTCTTATTATAAGAATACTTCAAGCGCATCAATAACTGAGTACCTATTCTCAATCAATTCTTTTAAAGCGTTTGCCGGCCTTTGAATAACCTCGCCAGCAGCAATTCTGTTTATTACATCTTGAGCAAGCTTTTTTATCGGTGGTACCTCCATTGGTCTCTAGAAATATCCAAACTCCGAAACTTCAGAACACTTAACACTATATAAACTATGAAAAATCTTTTTCCTTTATTAAAAAAGAAATTTCCAGTTTGTTTATTGAGGTTATATACGGAACATAACATTTGACAACAGACAATTTGACATTGACGACCGATTCCGTGGTGATTGAAGAAGATTGAAAAAGAGGTTAACAACCATCTCAAACAAAAATTCTGAAAATACCTTTAAGGGATGATACCATTTTTTTTGTGAAATGCTTTTCTTTTAACTTAATGAGAAATACAATAGTAATTCGACGATTTGTTTTGGACAAACTTACTTTCCTGCAGTATACGGAAACGCAGAAAAGTATAAATTGCTAGCACCAAAAAATCGTCCTTTACATAAATCAAATCAAAGCGGATAACCAAAATTTCCGTATTATGTACCGCGGTTATAATATGGTTCAAGATGACACACGGGATGATGACGTCAGTTACTCGAATCGCTCGAACGCGTTGGTTTTAACCGCGGTTTGTTGCAAGTTATTTTAGAAAATCGCGTATATAATTTCTGATTATTTTTATTATCACTTAATAATTGATGCTTTTTCGTCTACAACGGGGTATGGAAAGTTGAAAAAAGAAAACTTTCATAATATTAATGGGAGGAATGTTTTTTTTTTCAGAAAAAAATGTTTACCGATGGAACCATGGCTTTGTAGCAATGATAACTTTCAATTCTCTAAACTTTTCCGCATGTCAAAGAAAATATTTATTGATTTAGCAGAAATAATGAAAAAACGATGAAAAAAGATATTAACAAAACCGTATACAGGTGGACATCATCCAGCGAGTTTATACGGCCATATTTTAATATTCTTGTGGTATATTGCTATACAGAATACTTTGTTAAGCGTAGGAACTAGATTTGAAGTGTCCCCAACAACAGTAATGATTATAAATAATAAGGTGCTCTCTTATGCTAAAACTGAAGTCAGCCTGTATCAAGTTTCCCAAAAATGAAACTGAAGTACAATAAAAATATCCAATACTCGGCAAAATTCTAACTTGTCACATGTCAAATAATAACCAGAAATATAAAACTACTCCCGAGTTGGGTAAACTGATAACCACACTCGCTTGATCGGATCGGTAAATACCAATCCAAAATGGTAAATACCATTTCCATTTGGTTATCCGCTCGAATTTGATTATTCTAGTAACCACAAAACATATACACTGAAAGAATGCTTACTCGTAGTAACCTTGTGTAAAAATTTCATCAAATTCAGCAGGGGTATTATGAAAAAAACCTAAAGAACGTCAAATAGAACCGACGAAATGTCATCTTGCAGACTACGTAGTTTTTAGTTTGCAAATAGTACATTCCACGTTTGCTCGCTGACGTTTAAGCAACACGTACAGCTACAAAACGAGTTCACAAGTGTACTTCTTGTAGAAATAATACCTACGTTATGTCACAAAAAACCTACGAAATGTCAAAAAACTGAAGAAATCTCACTTTTCAAGATACGCAATTCCCGTGCCGTGCTGTGTACTTCCCAACTTTTAGCGGACAGACAGGCTGACGAAAAAGAGTGACATGGTTTTTTGCAATGTACTCGTACATGTCATATAACATCCAAAAAACATATCTCGTTTTCGTTTTTTTTTCACGATTACGATACTTCCTCGAAAGTGACGTAGGCAGTTAAAACAAAACGCACTAAACATCACACATTTACATTGCATCTAAATATATACCTTCTCCATGATTTAAAAATGAATTTACAAATCAGACATTTGATGATTGAAAACTGCATAGTTATAATCTTTCATTTGATTATGCACTGAGAACCAAATTTGCCTGAGTTCAATGTGTACGAGAGAGGTGTATATAGACACATATGTTAGAAAGATGGAGGCCGGATCGATAGCGAAACTCATCATCGGCAAACTGCCGCGTTGCCAGTATGTTACAAAAGTTTCTTGAATTAAGATGCATGTTGAAAATAGGCATTAGTTTATTCTCTACGCCGAAATAATGGTATTATTTTGAGCGTACAGATTTTTCGATTGTATCGAATCTGTTTAGGATCGGTCCTAACGCCGCTCCATTTTAGATCGAAATGAAAGTTAGGTTCGCCACAAATTCTGCAACACTGCATCATTGGTTCTATTGGCAACACCGCATCTCGTACATTCCAGGGAAAGGTTTCCACCTCTATGATCAAGGAAGAGCGATTTTCGTCAGTACCCATCCAGCGCTCATTGGGGAGTGTCGTCCTGTTTCGAAATGGTTTTCACCTGCGTAAACACAGGCAGTGATAATTTGTATTGCGTAAAGGTATTTCGTTACATTTAACGACCGCTCGCTGGCGCAAATTGTAACAATATCTCAGGATGTGTTGATTTTATCACCATATGTGGAAATCAAAGATAATTCTAAAATAAAACGCTAAGTCGCACTAAAATTAAAATAAATAATTCTAATCACAATGAAAACATAATATTAAATTATATGTTCGAGTAGACCTTGAGTTTGACAGAAAAGTAACCTATTGTAGAAGCCTATGCGAACATTTTCTGGTTTTTTGGCAACGCGGCAGATTCCACGACCTTCTGCGTCACCGTTCCTAGGCAATGTGGTGATGATCTTCGCGCGGCTGCTAACTCTTTCTACACACTTCTCTCTCGTACACATTGAACTCAAGCCATCGGAGAAATTTTGTTTTCCCTGTATACACGGGAGTTTTACAGCTTCCGCAATTTATTCAACGACTCCTGATCAGAACATTGGTCGATAACAGCATCACCTTAGTTTGCAAAACTTAGTGTTTTCAATCGTTATTTACGCTCCGTGAAAGCAAACACCAGAGAGGGTAAATGCCTGGGCAGACAGCGACAAGCAGACAGAGGTGGAAATCAAATGCTCATGTTTGTTTTGGGGCAAAGTAAGTGAAGTTTGAATGTAGTACATAAGTACTAAATTTCCTCGAATCACTATTTAACTTCTGGAAAGATAGGTACAACACAAATATTGCCATATGACCATGCTGGACTAATGCAGTGTTAGCTGCACGAGAAATAAAACTAAATCGTAAAAATACTAACAGATTTTAATAAATATTCGACAATAAAATAAGCAAAATCAAGTTTACTACATTGCTATTGCTACCTGTCAATCGTAAACAGTTTTATTTCTGCCTATTCTTTCTTTGGATTCATTTAACAGTTTGTATGCTGGTAAGTACACGCATCTACCTATTTTCACATTAACACATTTTAATGCTGGATTTTTGTTTGTGCTGGAAGCATCTCCTAGTGATGTATAACCATAGTCATACAGCTTACAATAGGGAACTTTGTAAAATAATAGATAATCCCATATATCTGAGTAGTGCCAATCCAATAAAGGGCTGACCCTCATTATTCGTGGCCAGTCAGGATCTGTCAGCTGAAAAGAAAAGAAAAAAAATCAACTTTAAAAACTACTACTACAGTATTAATGTGGTCTAAGTAAGAATGATAGATAAAAAGTATGTGTGAACCCAAGCTAACCATTACCAAATTGGTCCACTCACAATATTAATTAATCATATTCATATTTAGCGATCCAATTACCCAGGGTGCTAAGTTTTGTTTATTTGTAAAATGTAAAGACAGCTTTTGCACAATGTCCATGTAGTGCAATTTCATCTATACATAATCGCATCAAAAGACAAGGTTTTGTCAATTGTACTATAAAGTTTCTCATGGTAAAAAAATCCTCAGTTGCAGCAATGAGCGTGAATCTACATGGTAGCCTTGTTCCTTTGGAACTGGAGCATAAAACCGGTTGTCATCAATGTTTGATAATTGATTCAGACCGTGGATATCACCTCCGAAATTAAGTAACCCCATTCAATCCATCCGTAACGGTCATATATCCTCATATACACTGAGAACCAAATTTGCCTGACTGCCTAAGTTCAATGTATACGAGAGAGAAGTGTGTATAAACACATATGTTAGAAAGAGATAGAGGCCGCCTGGATAGCGAAGCTCATCACCGCATTGATTAGCAACGCTGACACGGCAATCTGCCGCGTTGCCAATATGTTACACCAGTTCCTTCAATTAAGATGAATATTGAAAATATGCGTTTATTCTTCACGCCTAAATAATGATTTTATTTTGAGCGCACACATTTTTGAATTGTGAATTACGTCGAAGCTGTTTAGGATTGATTCCCGATCGGTCCTAACGGCGCTCAATTTAGGTCGAAATGAAAGGCCAGGATCGTCACAAATTCTGTAACACTGCATCACTGGTTCTTTGATATCACTGCATCTTGTACACTCTGTGATCATAGTTGAGCGATTTTAGTCAGTACCGATCTAGCGCTTGTAGTCGAGTGGCATCCTGCTTCGAAAAGGTTTTCACCTACAGTATAATTTGTATTGCATAACGTTATTTGTGACATTTTCCGACCGCAGCACTGTAGCAAAATGTAACAATAACTCAGGTTGTGTTGATTTCATGACCACTGGTGGAAATCAAAGATAATTCTAAAATAAATATAAAATACTAGGTCCCATCAAAATTGAAATAATTTCTAATCAAAATGAAAAAATACTCGTATCAAATTAAATGTGCGGAAAGATCTCTTTCTTGGGTTTGACAGTAACATAACCTATTGTAGCAGCCTGGGCGAACATTTTCTGGTGTACATACCGGCAACGCCGCAGATTGTACGACCTTCTGCGTCACCATTGCTAGGCAATGTGACATTGCATGCTTCTACCTTTTTCTGATATGTGTTGATACGCACTTCTCGCGCTTCTCTCTCGTACACATTGAACTCAAGCGGTCAGACAAATTTGGTTTTCCCTATATGTCTGAACAACCACTTTGGCACAATTTTTTGATGCTACTTCCAAACCTCCTCAGGACATTATAAAATGGATCATTGAGAACATTCTAAATGTGAAAGGATATTTAGCAGTACCTACAATATTTTATCCAATGTTGAGCCAAAAAATAATGTTCTTCATTCAAATAAGATGTTTGTGTTAATTTACTAATATTTCTTAATTCCTTAACAATAGCTTGATTCAATGTCACAACCATCATATTTACTTTTAACTTTTTGTTTAGTCATAGATTACATCATCCTCAATTATGTAGATAGATAGTAAACACAATAATCCTGTACTTTGACACAACTTACCTCAAAGATATTCAGCTTTTCTGAATATGGGTCTGTCCTCCTTGTGCCCATGAGGCAAGCTTTTAAATTCGGTCTAGCCTTTAAAATATGTTCTAAATGTTCCTTCATGTTCACAGTGCTACTTTCTTCAATCGCCAAATTAAAATAAACCTTGCACTGTCTTATAAATTCTGTCTGCTCTGGAAATACATTACTATTTTTCACATATGAACAGTAAATTGGTTCCTTGAATTCTGGATATTTATATTTTAAGACAATGTAATATAAATGTAGGAGTACTGTGCAGTCTTTGCCACCATTAAAGCTGACAAATACATTTTCTGGTCCATATTTTCTAAGACATTCTTCAATATTCTGAAACAATATTTAAATATTTTCAAGCATTAGAATTTAGAAGAGGTAAAAAGAGAAATATCAGCTTCATTTAGTGGCTGAGCACCCAGATGTGTTAAGGTGTCGAGCTGCTAGCTCATTTAGTTAGCCCAGAAAATTATGGGCTGTTAAAAAACTATGTGCTATATGATTTTCCATTGCTTTACCCATCATTATTTTCCACCTTCAGGTTATGAGAAAAACTAAAAAAACAGCCAACAACATGTGAAGTTATGCCAGAATTAGTCAGATTTAAAAAATATGAGCACACATGGATTTTCCATCACTTTAACATGTTTTTCCAAGAAAATTTTTGGTTTTTCCACCTTTGAATAATGAAAAACTGAAATCATAAATACAATATTCTACCTATAAACAGTTTGATTTTTTAGAGTATCAAAAAATAAATTTCAAGACATGTTTTACATAATGTATATGATTTTAGATTATATCAATATCTATTAACATACCTCAATAGCTTGCCTTATATGTGCTTCTCTGCTTTCATATATCTCAGAAAAATCTTCTCCCACATGTTCCTCAAACTGAATATCTACCTCATTCAGTTGCTTTTTCAAGGTTTCTGTACATTCCACAATATTTTCAAAGAATGTGCTTCCAATTCTGATTTCTGAATCATAATTTTTTACTGCCACACCAGAGTTAATATAGGTTTTTAATTGATTAAGAATACTTTCAATACTATGATTAGAATTAGTGTGATTCTTGATTTTGATTACCTTTGAATAACTTGGAATTTGTTTGTATACTTTCAAACGATCCTTTACAACTTTAGTAAACTGATATTCCAGAAATTCCCCATTCAAAATGAATATCCTTTGAAAATACACAACAGGCAATTCTAAGGAATCGACTGAAAGCAGTTTCACACCAGCTGGTAGATTACAATTGCTCACAGTTCCATCATATAAATTACAAAGCTTTCCACCATTTACACGATCTGCTCCCATAATTTTGACGAGTGCTTCAAAAAGAGAAGTGCTACTAACATATGAAATAACAATTGTTACATCGAACTGTGCAGAAAATCTTTGTAATGTACTGGAAATAAGCTGCTCCTTCTGTTTCACAATTTCAATATCTTCCACCGTGTAATTCAAACTTTTGAGCTCGTTCGTTAAGTATTCGACTGTATCGTCACTTGGTTTTTCATGTCGTTTTTCATCACAGGCATTAACAACGTACAAAATGCCAACAGTATTCATTCTGATACTCACGCTCGGTTTCACCGACAACAAAATTTACAAAGAGCATGTATGTGATTTATCTATATAGCATGAACTTTAAAACATGGCTAATGGCTGTATTCAAGGCAATTAAAATAATGTTCGCATTGTTTTCAAGTTTTTAAAAGATCTCCGACTTTCCACATACTGTTGACATAACTGGATTATTGATTGGCTAATGACTAATGGTTATGCAAAAATCACAATACAACAGAATGCAGAACATGAGTCCTTCTAGTTCTATGCTGCGACCCACAAAACCTGAAGAAGGTTTAGTCACGTGTTATCCATAGGTCGATTTGTCTGTCAATCGCCATTTTTTTGGATGTCACATGGTTGTCAGATTGTGCACGAACGCCGCATGCGACGTTGCCGGCTCTTAGCATAAATCTAAGACTCTTGTACACTATATATTGGGCATTTACTAATTATTTATGGAAGATTTTATAACGACATGTGTTATTAACATATTTTTACTGTTTTGACAAATAAGAAATCACTTATCTGTTTAAGCAGCAGCGTCAATAACAGATGTCATTATAAAATCATCCATATACCCCTCTATAGCTATTTGAACATTTGAGAACAGTAAAAGAATCTATAATACTTGATAATATGTTTTTATCAGAATTTCATATTGTATGAACACATCAATATGTCCAAATATTTTCATTTCTGGTGATGGTCTTGTGCAGCACCTGCATGGAAAATTGTTAGAATTAGTGATGGAAACTAATTATTTCAAAAAGAAATAATAGTTATTATTAACAACTGTAAGGTTACTAGAGTTACCAGATTTTTCATAAGAATTATAACACAGGGATATCTAATCACATTTCCATAACAGTGGTAATCAGAATGTAAAAGTTTTACGTAAAATATGATTATATATAATTACATAACATATTTACTAAAGTATTCATTCATATTTATATTCAAAATTGAAATCTATGGAAATTGTCGTCAGTATCTTATATCAACAACAGAATACCAATATTAACAGAGAAGCGCTACAAATCACTAAATTTGACATAAACTTACATTAACACTGACTATGAAACACATTAGCCATTGTCCTAGCTATCTCTGATCACCATAGGTTGGCAGTGGAATGAAGCGCCTTCAACTCTTGCTTCTTCAATGTTTCATAGCACTCCACATTTGTGATTGTTGAATCAAGTAGAAATCCTCAATAGTTGTAATGTTTTAACAAAGACATCCTCCCAATGTAGCATCTATTTATCACTAAAGCTTTTTTTCAAGCAATAAGGATGCTCCCTTTGTCGATTATAATCATCTAGAAGAAAATTGAGCTGTTCTCTTTTGCAGTTACGAAAAACCTAACGGCCCGAGTAACGATAACACAAGTATTGAAATATACTCGGCTGAACTATACTTTAGCGCAAATATGGCATTTCTTATTTTAAAATGAAAGATTAGGATGTAACACGAAAATATCATTTTTTCTTTAAGGTACCCTCTGCTTACTATTTTATAGAATTTCAAAGTTGCATTTTCGTTTGTAATACTGTGGTATAGAATACTGCTATATAAGCTGTTTTTTTCTTGGTTACACAAAAGATTGCTCAAAATTATATGAATATAACATACAATGTAAATTACTGAGGCACTGTTCATTGCAGTAATGCAATTTTGCATTATTTTGATGATGAAAATAGTTCATTGTTAAGTAGTTATTTCTTTTATTTCAGATAAATATTCCCATCACTACATCACCATCCACCACCATCACTATCCTACCCTCTCCATCTAGTTGCATTGTTGCCAAATCATGGATAGTAATATACCCTGATTTGGTTTCTCAAATTCTTACTTATATACTAGCGCAAAAATGTGCAATCGGCACAGGACCACAGGATTGTCATGAAAATGGTATTTGGAGGTGGAGGCCTCGTGCCCTACGATAGCGTTAGCTAAAGACACTTTTTTGAAGAATGCCTTATGCCCTTCACAAAAGTACGTCGGTTATTGTTTTTCCTATATTATAGTTATAATCTATTTACTGTTTGTATGTACTTGAAAAATTACTTAAAGTGAAGCTGATGTCACAAAATATACCTAATTAAATGTGATACACATACAGGGTGACTTTGAAGTTGAGTCATTAATTTTCAGATAATGATTGTAGAAGGAATATAAACCAAAATATGTGTGTAAAAATAAAAAAAAAATAAAAAAAAATGTTTACCTTGTTTTATAAAGTATCCTCCCGACAAGTATTTCAGTGCGGACCTGTATTTGATCGTGAGGTCCCCTGTGAGGTCTTAAGTCACCTGATTCACGAGCCCGTTGTACTACATTAACAAAGGCACGAGGGGTTGGTTGCACTCGATTGGGAAACCGATCCGCATAAACATGTGCCATTTTTTATTTCGTTTGAGCCACGCAACAGATACAACTATTCACTGACACTGACTGTATACAAATGAATGAAATAATTCGTTCCAAATTCTTTCGCTTTTTTGTTTCCGATGCGATGAACCGATACGACGGATTATATCCGTTGTCGCCAAACACCAGCACATTGAGACAGGGCGGTACTCAAACTTCCAAAGGGCTATAACTTTGTTACTTTAATTTTACTAGAAAAATGGTAAAGGAAAAAAACATTTCTTTTGATCAGATCTACTCACTGTTAAAATAAATGACTCAACTTCGAAGTCACCCTATATGAGAAATAACTGAAAAAGTAGCTGTTGCCAATCACTAAATAATGAAAAGATAATAAAGAACATGAGTGGACCTAGCGAGGTGGTCCAAATCGACGAATCGAAGTTGGTTTTTTTTATATGCAATGACGGCTGGTGCCTTTTGTATTTTCTGTCACGCGAGCCGCTGGTGCACTTTCCACGGTTTAGACACATACTGATCAAAATTTCATCTAGTTTTCGGTAAATATTTGGTCAACTTCTCATAAAACAAGCCATTTTCAATAAATGAAGACTTTTATTTTGCAAATAACCTAATTTTTTATCACGTATTTCCCCCCAAAAAGGTACAACTTGGCAACAATGGACATCATTTATCTTATCTGTCAAGAAATGAACGTTATAAAATGGCCATTCAGAATTGTTTGTACTTTTAAACAGTTCTTATAAACGCAAATACTTTGATCTCATCGAAAATACGCGAAAAAAAAGTTTAAGGAATTTCAAGACGACTGAAAAATCACAACACAATACATCTGCCCAGTGTTCCAAGTAAATACCATCATTTACATATGTATTTTGATCTGTTATTTCAGCTAATAAGCTAATGTGTAATAACACGGCTGATTTTGAACCTTTTTTTTGCAAAAAACAACGATTTGTCACAGTTTCACGTCTATTTTCCTTGGTACTATGCAGTGTATGTTATATTCTTATAATTTAGAGCATCAGTTTGTACAAAAAGCAAAAAAGCGTATAAAAAAGTTTTCCATTCTAGAGTATTACCACCAAAAATGCAACTTTGAAGTTCTATCAAATAGCAAGCAGAGGGTTGCTTAAAGAAGACATGATATTTTCGTGCAAGTTACATCCTAATCGTTTATTTTAAAGTAAGAAATGAAGTATTTGCGGGATGCGCTAAAGTATAGTCTTACCATATACTCCAATAGTCTATCTGTAATGGCATTATTTAGGCACTACATGATGGTGTTTTTAAAAAAGTGCTACACTGTATCTAATAGCAGCTTTTTCTACGACTTCAACGATGTATCACCTTACATTTGTTTTTTAGTTATCAACAAAGGTTTTTTTTCCTACTTTTTCATGATATTTAAGTAGACGTTGCAAACAAATGCTTGATATAAGACTGTGTGGTGACTGATCCTTATCTTGGCCACCCTGTAATACATTATTATAAAAAGAAATTTACAGAAACGTGCACTAATCTAACGTTCTTGTAAGTATTCTTATGTACTTAATTCATTTCTGAAAAATCTCAAAATTATTATCAAGGCCTCGAACAAAAGGTCCAAGGAATTGGTTGTAGCAGATCAGTCCGATGAGCTGGCAAACGCTGCAATTCAGGTGTCAAGATCAACTTTCAAAACGTATGTCTATCCCGGGGTAACGACTGCACCATTTAGAACGTCAATTCCCCAGTTTTCCAACCTTCATTTGAATATTTTTAAGAGTTGTGCAACGATTTCGTGAAAAATTTAGCTACGGATAGTCGAGTAGAGTATATTTCAATAGTTATCTTGAGTGGCCATATTATCTTTACTCGGGCCAACCTACCTTCCAAACATCCACCGACAAATAAAAGAAGTTAACCACAAAACATATACACTAGAGAGCAAAAACTCGCGAACTGCGATTTACTCGCAGCGATTATAAAATCACAACCTGCGAGCCCGTTCCGTAGTTGCGAGTTGGTGGGTTCGCGTGAGCCGGTAGGCGGGTAGGCATGCAACCAACCCAACCGTACAATCGCGGCAATCGCTTTGGGAGTGACACATGCGAGTGGCGGTTAAAAACGAGCGGATGGCGTTGCTTTTATATGGTTGTGAGTTGTGACTGTTGCGAGCTGCGAATGCGAATTGTAAGGATTGGTATTGGTGGTTTCTATTTTCAATGTCTAGGTTATTTTTTTGTTTGACTAGCCAGTATTATTTTATTCAGTTTCAACAATGTTTAAACAGAGGAAAATAAGATATTTGGGGATTTTTTTTACCGAAATCGACGAAAATTTCGCAAAATGTAATATGTGTGCAGCCAAAATATCATATAAGACTAGTACCACGAATTTGAGAAGACACATGAATCAAATTCAAGCGGATAACCAAATGGAAATGGTATTTACCATTTTGGGTTGGTATTTACCAATCCGTTCAAGCGAGTGTAGTTATCAGTTTGGTTATAAGATCCGTGACGTCACGAATCAGCTGTTATATGTCATAGTTATCACCGCAAAATTGTGGTATTTACCCAACTCAAGAGTAGTTTTATATTTCTGGTTATTATTTGAAATGTGACAAGTTAGAATTTTGCCGGGTATTGGATATTGTTATTGTACTTCAGCTTCATTTTGAGAAAAATGATACAGGCTGACTTCAGTTTTACCATAAAGTGGAGCACATTATTAGTTATACTCATTACGGTTGTTGGGGGCACTTTAAATGTAGTTCCTATGCTTAACAAAGTATCCTGTGTAGCCATATACCACAAGAATATTAAAATATGGCCATATAAACTCACTAGATGATATCCACCGGTATACGGTTTTGCTAATTTCTTTTTTCATCATTTCTGCTGAATCAATAAATGTTTTCTTTGACATGCGGAAAACTTTAGAGAATTGAAAGTTATCATAGCTACAAAGCCATGGTTCCATCATTAAAAAAAAAATCTGATAAAAACATTTCTCCCATGAATATTATGAAAGGTTTCTTATTTAAACTTTCCATATACAGTTGTAGACGAAAAAGCACCGATTATTAAGTGATAATAAAAATAATCAGAGATTATATACGCGCATAACACAGAAATTTTGGTTATTCGCTTGGATTTGATTATGGAGTCAAAACACCCAGCTGTCGCTGTAGCTGCAAATAAACCAACCTTGTTAAGTTCTTGAAGAGAAATGTTTGCAGTTTAACATATTACCTGTTGAGTTTAGTTTTTGCATTCTTCTAATTAAATTTATAAGATTTAAAATAAAGATATTATCATTACTCCTAACCTTTATAACACAAATACAATGTTATTTCATTTTTTGTGATAACAGTTGTTAACACATAACACATAAATATGACCAATTTAATGTAATTAACCTTTTATAGAAGGGAAATAATGATATAACACAGTCCTACAATTTCAAATCGCAATCAGGTTACACTCGCAGTGAGTGGTAAATCGCAATCGCAGTTTTAACTGCGATCACAAAATCGCAACTTTGATCATCTCTAACATACACTCAAGAATAGAAGAAGGTTTAATTCCATGCTATTCAATGGCAACACGGTGACTTGTGTGGTAGTCAGCGGCCATTTTTTGAGGGTGCGACACGGTTACCAAATTGTGCATTAATACCCAGCATCGTTGCCAGCTCTACATATAAATCTAGATTGCTATACTACTATACTTTTATATATAGAAATTTGGTGGGTTATGGGTGATCTTATAACAGCATGTGTTATTAACATTTTGCGCTATCTTGACGAATAAGTCCTTTTTTGTATATTAAAATAGCAACGTCAATAACACAAGCCTCCAAAATTTTTTGATGAGCAGAAGTAGCAATTTTCTCAGGGGGGACATATTCTACAAAATTCTCAAAGTTGTACACAAAACCATGCTAAATATGCAAATTTTAAAGTCATAGTGGTCACAGAAGAGACCACAACCCTTCTGACACCACTGTGGGCACCCATGTTATTATTCAATAACATATGTGGCTTCGATTTCATTGAAATCACACTGAACTTTGCATATCAACTCAGCTGCTCTAAGAATAGATGATTCAAAATGAAGTATGGAAACTATTTTGGACAAAAAGCAGTATAATCATCACTGGTTATTGAGTCATATAAAAATTTACAAATGTTATGGCCTGCAAATATCCTTCAGAGCTGTGCCTTCTGGTTAGATCACAAGTGATCTCCGAACTTCTGATAATTCTCAGGACCTCAGGATCACCTTGAAAAAGAAACAGTTTTGATTTGAAGTTTGTCTTATAGTATTTACAAATATATTACAGTTTTGGGTACTTAAATTTTTATACTTCACAACTCTGAACAAAAGGCATATGTCTCAAATAACATAATAGGGACTTTATTCAATAAAATGAAATGTTTATGTTACACACAACGAAAATGGCTTGCGAAAAAAGTAAGGTTATTTTTGCAAACCACAGCCACAGGAAGAAACTTGCCGGACATTTTAATTTGACCAATCAGACAATGTCAGTTGTGAATAAGCCGCCATTTTTGAGGGTGCGACATGGTTGTCATATTGTGCACTCGCAACACTGCTTTGTTCCCCATTCCCTCATATGAGTTTTTCACCCCTCTGTAAAAAAGGCACCAATTGGGAGTTGACTCCCCATGCTGTGACCCTGTAATAGGAACCAAAAGCCGGCCACAGACATCTTGACACTTTGCACCAGGATTGCCCGATACGGATGTGCAAAAGGTGGTCACAAGATTCATGTTTAGGAAGATGTTTCTTCTGGGAAGAGGGCTATATCTCGGTATCACCAATTGTTTGACAGTTATTCTACCAATTACCATAGCCGTCTTTGCCAAAGATGCGCAAATAAAAACGAATAGTTGCGCTCCCAATGAAATCTACCTCGTCATATTCATTATTGGATACATTAAATACACCATACACCTTTTTTTATTGCATGCCCTTTTTCAAAATCATTAATGTATCAAAGTGGTTTTAACGGAAATACCAGTAAACGCAACGTATAGGCTTTTTTGAGGTTTTTGGCGAGTCACAGTGAAACTACTAACTGAGACTAAATTAATTTCATACATCGATCTCACAGACAAGTTCATCTCACAGACAAGTTCCTTAGTTTTGTCTCAGAGCCTTGGAACATTAACTCGCCAACCAACCCTCGTCTACATTTATGCATGTTACTCTCCATTACTCTCAGTCTCTGTTCTCAGTATGACAACTTGCTTGTCATGTGCGTGCGATATGGGTTTACCCTATGTTGGACGTCGAGATAAAACAGCAAAGCCCGGGTACAACTAGATGTCAACAATCACTGTTTAAACTGGGAATAAAATCAGCGCTTCTCCATCACCAAATTCATATGTGTAGGCAAGAGTGAGTAGCAGCTGCATAAAGAATCAGCTTGCGAAGTGTGTAATCTCTTAGGAAAATAGAGCTCTGCACATGGTATATAATCTGTTTATTACTAATTTCGTATACGTAATCACCAAAAACCATGAAAAAAAAAAACAAGAACTGAATTCTTGACCGGATGTCGCGTCTGGTAGTACTCTGTGATGTAGGATGTAGTGTGCAAAATGTAGTATGATTCATAGTATATAGGCAACTAAAATAGAAGAATATTTCAAACTCTCGTAAAAAAGTTACCATGGAATGCGATAGTTACACTGTTGATGACCCGAAAGCTTAACCTTTTGCCGAAAAACTAAAAATGGTCTACTTGTTATTCCAGTACTATATTTTTTTTCAGGCTTTAGGAATGCATAGTGTGATGGTCAGCATTAAAAACCTTTCTTTTTTAAATCGGTTCTTTTTAGGGCCACAACTTAGGCCCGTATCGTCAGTCGTCCCTACAATTGTAGGGCGCGTGTATGGCCTCCTTGAGTGTCATATTCCTTTCTCTCCTTCAAAAATTTCTAAATTACACTTGTCCCGTGTCAGCGTCAGCGCTCTCTTATTGTGAAGATATGTTTTCTTTTTAAATTGTAGGAAATTTCAGGCTGATAAAACATCATATATCTCAAAAGCAAGCACAATTTGATGCAAATAGATGTTTGTGACATAACCTCAAAATAGAGCGCTGTCACGGAGAAGTAGAAAACTGTGACAATCAAGCAGGCCATAAAGGCGCCCTACAATTGTAGGGACGACTGACGATACGGGCCTTAGCTACTTTTTCATAACAAAAATGATACCAATGTATTTATTTTTTGGAGAAAATTAACCATTTCTAGTCGGAATGTCCAAAAAAGCCCTCTAGCGGCTACATGTGAAACTAACAAAACTTCAAATATAACATTTTTAACCCAAGAATAGCTTTTTTCAACTAGCTCAAGGTTGTTGGAATGTTGGAATCGGCCTTGCAGTTTCGAAGATACAGTGTGTTTTTACAGTAACCTTTTAATACCTACCACCACTTTATTTTTAGAGATAGAGCAAAAATTGTCAAACAAAAAAGGTTCAGATTAACCTCGACTTTACACGAGTCTAAATGGTCACATTAATCAGAATTTAATGCCTGCACTTCACTATCGCCGATGATCGTTCATAATCGGCACGATCATTGTGCAAGCATCCACTCGAGCGTCCATAGTAGTGTCAAATGGCAAGCATCAATATGACCGATTCCCTTTGATGCGTGTCTGAAAAACAATTCACGAGTCGAAGGCGACGATGACAGACTAGTATAGCCGAGTGTGCCCTCTATACGATCGTGTTCGCGCCTAATCGTTTGTAATCGCCGATTGTGAAGAGGAGCTGTAATACTACTCGGGCGACTGACATTGTGTCCATAACAACTGCTCAAGTAGTCGTGTGTTTTGATGAACGCGGCCAGTCACTACCATAGATACTGCCTCAAACTGACATGCAGATAATACACAGTCAATTACATATTAAATTTTTATTTTTAAATAGTTACGCAGGTCAACAGACAGATGGCTGAATATTTACAAAATGGTTGTAATACAGAATTTGGAAATCCATAAGGAAAATTACGGGTACCCTACACTTGAAAATAAAGATTAAAATCATATATAAAAATATATTTCTACAAATGTCAAAAAACTTTAACATAAAAAACTGCCTTTTCTCGAAAGAAGATGAAATTTGAAATAAATATAATTCACCATAAAATCAGCTGCTATTTAAATCATTCGATTGATACTGTAGCATGCTGAAGTGTTCATACAATACTCATGTACAACCACACCAATTTCAAGTTGAGAAAAAATGGCTAACGGAAACATTTTAAATACTAACCTTCAAAATGTACATGTTTTTAAATAAGTTTGACAGTTATGTACTTTAATACCCTATTCTACTCCTATGAGAAATGAGATGATAAAAAAAATCACGTTCATGATGAAAGTAAAACATTAAGGTACAACGTTAGCTCCCTCAACGATTTTAAATCTTAGTATTTAAAATGAGAGAAAATGACGTATTGATAACTAAGTCTAGTCTTGTCGATGAACCTCTTCACTTCTTTTTGTTTTTATTTGTTGCGCCTCTCGGAGGCGTTACTGGTCTTCCTGCATTCATGTTATACTGAAACTTCCGCTTATCGGCCGGTTTCAGAATTTGGAAACTGCACATCAATGTCTCATCAACAGACATCATCGCGCCAGCATTATCGAACTCACCTGTTTAAAAAAATGCCATACATTAGGACAAGGCATAAAATATCAGTTTTTTATAAAATCATTGTGAATGGAAACTATAGGGTTTTCCATTAAGGACTTGACAACTTTCTTTTTAAATAAATCGCAAACAATTTGAGATATCTCAAAAATTTTATTATTGGATTTAAGTATACTCAAAACATTTATGTATGAAATTCGACCTCGTCCATATGTGCAACACGGGTAAGCTCGCAGCGATCGATTCGTGAACCCAATTTTCAAAGACTCGGTCTCACATTTCGACAGAAACGGCCGCTATCTCTCGTTCAATATTGGCTCTGAGCTCCTTTAACGACGCCGGTTTGTTGGCATAGACCAATGATTTGACGTAGCCCCACAAAAAAAAGTCTAGGAATGTTAAATCACACGATCTAGGCGGCCATTCGACAGGACCATTTCTCGATATAACACGTTCACCGAATTTTGATTTCAATATGTCGATTGTTTCACCCTCTGTGTGGCTTGTGGCACCGAATTGTTGAAACCACATATCATTAATGTCTAGCCCATCCCATTGACCAAAAAATATATCATTGCAACATGTCTTTGTAGCGATCTCCGTTGACTGTAACGTGACGGTCATTTCATCAACGGAAAAAAAACGGCCCAATGACACCACCGGCATGAAAACCATACCAGACAGTTATTTTTTGTGGACGAAGTGGTGTTTCTTGAAGCACATGAGGGTTTTTACCTGACCAATAACGCATGTTCTGTTTGTTGACGAAGCCGTTAAGCCAAAAATACGCCTCATCACTGAAGATGATTTTGCGATGAAATTGGTCATTTTCTTGCAACATTTGTAGAGCTCAATTTGAGAACGTACCTCGGTTCATGTGATCGAACGGCTTTAGTTCTCGAGTTAACTTGATCTTACAAGGGTGCAGGCCAAAATCTCTTCGCAAAATTCGCCATAGTGTGGTCTGAGCGAAGCCTAGTTCTTGAGAACGCCGTGGAATCGACGTGTTCTGTTCGTTTGCGACGGAAGCTTGAACGGCAGCAATATTCTCGGCAATTCGACCAACCCGTTGTCTCATTGGCACAGGAACATCCAACAGTGAACAATTTTTTCTACTAGACTATGAATTGTTTGTCTACTGGGACGAGAATTACGACCAAAAATTGGCGTTAACTCTCTTAATGTTGCAGTCACCGACTCGGAATTTCTGTAGTAAATTTTAATTATTTGTAAGCGTTGTTCTTTCGTGTACTTCCCCATGAAAATGTTTTCTTTACAGAATGTTTTGACATTGACATTTCAGTAATTGATTTAAAGGTGCGTTCACAGTGAAAGTTCAAAGTTGTCAAGTTCTTATTGGAAAACCCGATCAAAAAATGGAAATTCTTTGTGGCTACAAGCGAACCAGACTCGGTACACCTAGGTAATTTATGGACTGAATTCGAATATGATATTGAAAGAAGTCTCAAGTGTAGTGGGACAAAAGAAAATGGATCGCCTGGGACCCCATAACTATCCCAATGTGAAATTTTCATCAAATTCGGAATCTATGCTCGATCTATCCTGGAGTCGAGTTTGAGTCTTCAATGCATAAACAATGTTTTAACAAGTTCCCAATAATGCGCCGTATAATGAAGATATGACAAACTTTCTTCATTCTGTTAGGTAACAAGTAAAAAAAACTTAATACGAGGCAATTTAGGATGCAGAATGCAAATGTGACTATCAAAGAACCTCAAAATGACAATGTCGCCAAACATTGTTTTTCGACAATTTTTAAGTTTGAGTCAAAACTTTTTTGGAGGAGTCAGAATGTTTGAAAAAATCAAAACTTCGCAACTGTCAGCAGGTATTAGTGATGCATATAATGTCTTGTAAGTTGTAACTGGAATATTAAACACAAATTAGTTTCAACGCCTAGGAATATTGAGAAAAATCACTTGGCGATTTTTTTCATTAACTTACCACAATAATTGGGCGCCGAAAACAGCGTGACCAACTGCCTCTTAGCAAAGAACTCGTATCCATCTTCAACCACTTGATGCGCCCTGCATATGAGATCAAAATCGTGCTTGTGCAGAAATTTGCCCACGACTTCAGCGCCGAACGTAAATGAGACACCGCGATCGTTTTCGCCCCATCCCATTTGATCTTTGTCAGGATCTGACCACAAGAGGTCACAGAGTAGGCCCTGATCAGGCACGTCAGTGGGCCGCATGATCCGCCGAATCTGTTCCATCGACTGCAGGTCGGGACTCAAACCTGAAATTTAAACAAATACGGTTGCACTCAAAAACAAACAAAATACGAACAACCTATCCATATGGCGCTGTCCTCGACAAAAGTAACATGAAGGCAATGTGACGAATTTGGTTGCATTGCTTTTGCATTCTCAATGAAGCAACTGGCAATCTCGTTTCGAGGTTATGAACACAGCCGCTAACGGCATAATTATACCCTATTTCACGAGTATCCATTACGGTAGAATAACAACTGATTATCTAGTAATATCTCAAAATTCCCCATATCAGCACAGGGCACATAATTCTGACGGATTCGACAACGTGTGGTAGGCAGATCCGAATTTTGTTTTGGTTTTTTGTATGCTACAGATTCATTTTGTACATGCTAATAGCTTGTTTATTTAGAAAAGTTCATTTGCATACAAAAAACAAAATGCCACAAACAAACTTTACTAGATTTATACCCAATCCATAATTGCCAACATTGTAGACTAACAGAAAAATGTCACTTGCTGATCAGCTGTTTACCTCAGTAGACGTCAAAGCATTGTGAAATAAGGTATACTAATACTTTCTTTTACACAAGTACCCATTATGGTAGAATAACAGCTGATTATCCAGTAATAATTTAAAAATTCCTCATAACAAATCACACATAATTTTGACGGATCCGCCAACGCAATGTAGACGACTAAGTAAACTAGTAGAGTGAAATCTTTTTGGGAACATGTGCTGAATTGAGTTTCCATATACACATTTTTGAAGGGCCTCAGAAAACAGGACAATATATCACCCACGCAAAAAGGCTTTTTCTTAATTTTTAACCAATCACAAACAGATATTTTGTTTCATTGGTTGAAAGCATTTAATATAAACCTGATGATTTTTTGTGTAGGTAACATTTCAGTTCTTATTGTGCAGGCTGATTATATAATAAAATCAGTTGAAATGATCAAAATTTGAGGCTGGTCACCTGAGATATAGGAATAAAAATCTGAGTGCTTTGAAAAATAAAATTTCAGAAAGAAGGGTGAACTTACCACCATGGCAACAGAAAATTTTCTCATCAACAATAGCAGCAACTGGTAAACAGTTGAAACAGTCTGTGAATGTCTTCCAAAGTTTTATGTTGTACCTGCAAAAAACAAAAATATACTAAGTGACATATAAATCCGAACACCCAGTTTAAATGGTTTTATTTTAATAAAATTTTGTATAAGTACTTAATGAAGCATAATAAGTAAATGATAAAAATTTCAAAATGATTGCACTGCTTTAAAGCCCTTTGACCTTTAATAACGTGCGGATGCACCCTGATGTGCTACGCATTCTCCAACGCGCCTAGGAATGTTTCTGATCAGGTGGTCAATGTCCTCCTGTGGTATCTCATTCCAGGCAACCACCAACTCCTCTCGAAGTGCTTCTAGAGTCTGAGGAGGACATTGCAAATTGAGCAATCTCCTACCCATCATATCCCACACGTGCTCAATTGGGGATAAGTCGGGAGATCTTGGTGGCCATGGTAACAATGTGACATCATTATGTTGAAAGAAGTCTATTGTGACTCTTGCAACATGTGGTCGGGCATTATCTTGTTGGAAAGTTGGATCTGCCAGGGTGTCAAGATAGGGTAAAAGATGGGGTTCTAGAACCTCGTGGATATAACGCTGCGCGTTCATGTTACCTCTGATGAAGATTAAAGGTGACCTGGAACCATAAGCTATAGCACCCCAAACCATAACTCCAACAGTGTGATGAACATGTCTTTCAACAAAAAACTGTGGATTCCTCCTTTCACCACGTCGCCTTCTAACCCTGGCACGACCATCGTGCATGCCTAAACAAAATCGAGACTCGTCACTAAAGACAATACTGTTCCATTCCTGATCCCAGAGTGACCGTTGTCTGCACCACTCAAGGCGATTACGTCGGTTTTCTCGAGTTAAAGGGAGGACCCAGTGTGGCCTGTATGAAAACAAGCCAAAACTTCTCATTCGTCGGTAAACACTTCGCATGCCAATAGGTCTTCCGTGTTCTGCAAACCATTCATTTGCAATGGACCTGGTAGTGGAGAAACGGTCCCTTAAGGCCAATAATCTTAGGCGGCGATCTTCACGGTCTGTTGTTCTACGGCGGCGCGGCGTCCAGTGCCCCTTGCTCTTTGCATACGGCCTTCTCGAAGCCATGCCTGACAACACCTAACCTTAGTGTCTACACTTCTTTACACTCTAGCTGCAATTGCCCAAAAAGAAAGTCCAGCTTCCCGAAGTCCCACTATACGGCTCCTATCAAACTCACTAAGTTGACGAAATCGTACAGGTCTCCGTACTCTAGGCATCGTAACCGATCGTAAAGGATGTCAAGAACCAAAATCCGCCAACGTTGATTCTTTACTGCAGCTGAAATATTCATTTTTAGAGCGTTAGTGAATTAAAAAAAACGGAATGTCCAACTGATAAGGCTGAACATTTTTTCACTTGTTATTTACAGTAAGATAAATACATTAACCACCTTTTATTAAAATAAAACCATTTACACTGGGTGTTTGGATTTATATGTCACTTAGTATATTCAGTAAAATGAACAAGAAATATAACTTAAACCAAGTTTCAACAATGAAAACCTAATAATTTAATGAAAAACTAACAAATTAGATGTTTTACACTGAAAAGAGTTGAAATAGCAGCTAGAATGCCAGTTTTATGTAACATGTGGTTTTGAGAACAGATCTGAGTGGAAATCACTAGACAAGTTTAAAAAGCTAGATTGATTTTATTGTGACAAAATAACCACAAACATGACTTTGGCATTACCTTCTTTTGCATTCATCATAGAATCCATAGATACGATTAATTGAGGCACACTCATGGTTGCCACGCAGAAGGAAGAAGTTTTCTGGATACTTGATTTTGTAGGCAAGCAAGAGACAGATTGTTTCAAGAGATTGCTTGCCACGGTCAACATAATCACCCAAGAATAGGTAATTTGATTCTGGTGGGAAGCCACCATATTCAAACAGACGGAGAAGGTCATAGTATTGGCCATGAATGTCACCTAAAAAAATCATGTAATTAACACTTTGAGCCTTTCTTTATTCTGGTTTCTTTTTCTATGTGTCTATTATGGCACCATACGATCTCTACTCTTTATTAATACCTTGTTAAGAGCCCTTGTCAAATAAACACATCTAAACAATTATGACAGCTACTGAGAAACAGATGAGTTATTTGTTACAGGATAACTAATACTTTTCTCACTCTGCATAAGGCTCAGATAGGACCCAGCCTTCAATAATGTTCACATGTTTGAAGTACTGTCCAATTACACTGTTCAAAGGTGATGCTCTTCTGAGGAGGACTGTCAGAATGATAAAAGACATTTTTCTAATCGACAGTCCAGTGGCCCTTTTAGATCAATGGACAGTCAGCATACAGCTATATCAATGATGTTTGCTCATCACAGCTCTTGATGAGGCTGCCCTGCATGGACCAATCAGGACTCTGCCTCCCTCTATAAAACTCTGGACATCCATAACTGGCAAGCATGTCAATTTTTTTTCCCAGGGTGTTGAGATTGTGGAGCAATCTGTCTGAGGGGTTTCCTAGTTTTACTTACCTTAGGATTTCAAAAATCATATTAATAAAGCATATTAAAGGTCTTTGTAGCAGATGCAGTACCAACAAATGGCTGTATTAGTATAAACAAGGTAGGTATTAGGTCTTGTTGCTCTGAGACTAGATAAAGTCAGGGAGAAGGAGGAGAGCAAAGAGAAGGCATTTTCCCTTAACTATGCCTGGTATTTACACCTGTAGGATCAGCTGCTCTACAAGATTAACCACAAGCTCCTGTGGACTGCTCTGGCAGAGAATGACAGATAGAAATAGGAGAAAAAATGACAATTGTAGGGTTTCCTACATTATCAACTACGATTCAGAAATGTTCAATGACCCAAAAAATAATATTGGATGGATACCCGACTGTGAAATTTCAGGATATATAAAAAGTGACAGCTGAGGATTTTTTCTATAAATTCATCAATATCAATTATAAATGGATGTTTAAACTAAAACAGAAACCAGAGAGTGATATTCAAGCTACTGAATCTCCTATACATATTTTCTAAATTTTCAATACCATAGAAAAGCAAACATTCAATTATTCCAAATTGGCAGATAACCCCACATTTCTCAACATCTTCAATGACCAACATGATTTAAAAGCTCCAAATTTGGTTTGCTAAGTCTAAACCAAAGAGATTATAGATCTAATCAGTTGAATGACCTCTATTCTCATATTTCAAATAATGCAATCTTTAGCCTTGGTCAAATAACTTGATATAAGTTACACTATGCATTGAAAAATTCAATTCTACTTGATCAAATAAGTAGCCATTTAAACTACATTTGCAAGCAAGATTGCATTATTATCAAACCAACTTTGTTTATTAAAATGACTCATCTGTAGTGAACTGTATATCCTAAGCAAAGTGCTATGCATAAGCTTTTTTGCATAATTGCTTGATAATAAACATTATCAAGAAAAAAAGCCACTTACCACATATTTTGAGAGGAGCTTCCAATTCTAACAGAATTGGCTGGCTAAGGAAGATTTCTCTGGATTTTAGACAAAGCCCTCTAATTTCGTTCTCGGTTAGTTGTACATTTTTTCCAGGTCTTGCACCGCGCACTGGAAATAACGAAAAACAGATAGTTTTTGACGTTTATCAAGGCGTATACCAAAGACGCCATTATTTGTTGTCAATAGAAAATATTGACCTTCATACATTTACCTTCTAATAATCTCGCTATGATACTATCGATATTTAATTTATCTGCTTCAGCCATTTGCCTAAGATGTTAAGGATTTCTTATGTGTAGACCAGAGTGTTGGAAAATTATGGATGGCTCGGATTATTTATGATCTTCGACGAGCCTCTTCAACATAAACACGGCTTCTTCTGCTTGGGCTTTCGCGGAGGAGTTAGGGATTTTATTTTTTTTGTTAACACGTCATGCAGCACCCGACAGCGCTACCAACCGTTTTGGGGGATAGACCTATTTTGATAGATAGCTTTTTGTTCCTCATAGTTTATTTCACAGACATATAGTTACATTTTTACGTGAGAATGAGAAGATTATTAAATTTCACTTGAACAATATAAAATCCTGAATAATATCAGCTATCAGCCTCTAAACGCTTAAGATAATCTAGGGTTTTTGTTCGGTATGGCTATCCTGTTCCTTTATGTCAAAATACAAAATGTCACTGTCAGTGTCATTTATGCGGCTCCTGTGATTGCGATAATCCAAGCAGTTTGAAAAGATATTTTTATTTATTTAACTGAAAATGTTCTTATAAAGTTTTCTGAATAAAAATGAGCGAAAGTCAGGAGGAATCAGACAGAACAGAAGAGCGAAGTGGTATATTCAAAGAGATTCGTTTTTTTGTTAGCGGTGAAGTGGACGAGAAGGTAAGCATAAGCAAAACATGATAATTAACAACAAAAATATATGATTTTACTTTTTATTCTCAGGTCATTGATGTATTGAAGGATGATGGTGCCGAAAGACTTAATTATTTTTCTGATTATGTTACTCACTTGATAGTTGGTGAAAATCCTGAGGAGAATGATATAGTTGATGCTACTGATGTTTATGAAGTGCCTGCACTTACTCCAAAATGGGTTCTCATGAGTGCGGCATTGAGGAGACTGGCGTCTACAAAACCATATTTATTCAACCCTGACCCAAAGCTCTTCTCAGAGCAAGTTTTTTGCTTCAGCGGCATTAGAGAAGACCGCAACTACTTATGGTCTTTGATCACCTACTATGGAGGTACAGTACAGTTAAACCTTAATAGAAACTGCAATTTTTTAATTGCTACTGAAACAGATGGGGTAAAATATAAGAGGCTGAAAGCTTAGGCTCAGAAGTAATTAAAATTGTTACACCAGATTGGGTCATAAATTCTGTTAAAAGCCTATCACTTGCAGATCCAGTTTTGTTCCATCCTAAATTAATAAATTGGCCAAAACTAGTAAAACAAGATAGTACTACTGCAATAACTGGATTTGAACCTGAGCAAATTGAACCTGTTGAGAAAACAGAAGAACAAGCTATTTCAGATTCTACACAAGCTCTGCTGGATAAGTTGAAGCAGCGAATGCCATGGAACCAACCAAATACACCTCAAACTACATCTTCATCAGACCCAATAGCGCCTCCAAATGTAGTAGCTCCAAGTTTTCTCCAAAAGACAAATCAGCAACAATCCAGTCAGTCCCCAAAATTACAACAACCTCCACAGCAGGTTACTCCACAATCTCCAGTATCTGGAGGATTGCCTTCTGTACCAAAATCTCCATCTTCCTCATTGCCTTCATCATTAGCTAACCAACCAATACCAAGAAGCATAGTACATCATACACCCAATCAACAGATGACCTTCCAGCAGTCTCAACAGCCTCTTCCTTTGAGCGTTGCTAGAATGGTTAGCCAGCAACAATCAAGGCAAAATATTCAACAGCTAAGAGGCCAGTTAAGTCAGAGTCAGCTACACCAACAACTGCTTCAACAAAGAATGCAGTTGCAAAATCAGCAAGTTATCCAGAAAACATCAGCTGGTCAAATACCTCTTCAACAACAACAGGTTTTGCAACAACAGTTGGTACAAGGTCAACTGAACCAAAGACAAATATTACAGACCCAACTGACCCAAAATCAGCAGCAAGTTAGTCAAAGTCAACAGCAGATTTTGCAAACTCAGCAACTTGGCCAGGCACAGCATTTGAGTCAACTAAGTCAACAACAATTAGCACAGTTGCAACAACAACATCTACAACTTAAACAACAGCAACTTGCCCAAAATCAGCAATTGCAGCTGAACCAGCAGCAAGGTCAAATGAACCAAAGCATTGCTCTTTCAAATCAGCAGCATCTAATTTCTAACCAAGTATTGAATCAGCAGCAACAACAGAACCAGCAAAACAGTCCACAACAGCCATCACAAATGAGTCAGGGACAAAACTTCATTCAACATAATGTTAATCAGCATATTACATCTACACATGCTCAACAGCTGCTACACAAACAGCAGTTTGTAAATCAGCAAGTAACATCTGGCCAACAAGTATCTACAGCACAACAACAGTTGGTGCAAACTCAGGCAAATGTTACAGTTCAACAGTCACAACAGTTGGTAACCTCAACTTTCAAACAAAATCAAATTGTTAATCAAGACATTCAACAACAGTCTAACATCACCCAACAGCAAAGTGTTAACCAGCAATTGAATGTCCATACATTAAATCAGCAGTTGAGCACTCAGAATTTAGGCCAGCAATTGAATCAACAACAATTGACTCAACAAGCAACTCAACAAAGCCAGTTGGACCAGCTGAATCAAGAACTGAATCAGCAGATAAATCAGCAAAGTCAAATTAACCAGCAACAGTTGAATCAACTCAAACAGCAGAGTAGTCCTACTGCACAGCAAATTGTTCAAAGTCCTATCAATCAGCAACAGTTATTGAGTCAACAACAGAATCAACAATTGTGCCAGCAACAGATTCTTCAAAACCAGTTGAATCAACAGCAGTTGGGCCAGCAAACCCAATTGAATCAGCAACTTATACATCAACAACAGATATCACAACCTAACCACCTAAATCAACAAGGTCATCTTGGCTCACCACAAATTGGGCAACAAAATCAATTAAATCAACAAAATCAGCTGAACCAGCAGCTGTTAGAGGATATACAAGCATTGAACCAGCAATTACAACAACAGTCAGTAAACCAACAGAGTATTCAACAGCAACAACAGTTGCAACGGCAAAGCTTGCAACAGCTGCAAGGCTTAAAGCAGCAACAAGTTTTGCAACAACAACAAAACTTGCAACATGGGATTGGTCAAGGTTTGCAACAGCAGGTGATAACCCAGCAAACACTTCATCAACAACAACAGGCTCTAAATCAGCAGACTATTCAGCAAGGATTGAATCAGCAAAATTTACAGGGGATGAATCAACCTGTGTTGCAGCAACAAGCACTGAGTCAACAGAACTTGCAACAGCAACAACTCAACCAGGTATGCATTATAATCTGACTATAATTATGCACAAGGTACTAATAAAATGTTTTCCTGTAAGGGCGGTTGGTAATATAGTATGCAACTAGGCCACCTTTGGTACTGTGCTATTCCACAAGCCATCTAGAGTTAACTGATTATTGAATCAACCAACTCCAGCAATTTGGTGAAACTATGTATGTTATTCTTGCACTGATTTGGTACATAAAGCAACATTGATAACCTTTATTTATTAATCTATTTATCTCTCTATTTTCAAAGAACATCTGCTTATTACCTGCTGCTAATCGGAGAAATCAGTATTCTTGACCACAATGCCCCATTGTGAAGTAGCTTTTCTTTTGTTTCTGTTTGACCACTAAACTTTATATTTCCAAATATTTGAAAATGAGTGAGCAATAACTAATGTTAGGTATTGGTCATCAAGTAGCTATCCTCTGTGAGTATTCCAATAATCAGGAAACTGTTGGACAACTGCCTTTAATTCATTTGGAATGAAAACACATCCAACAAACTGTAACACTTTATTCCCCTCTGAAACTGGAATGGACTAGTCCACCAGCCACATCTTTCTATTGAATTCGTTTGGGTTTGTTAGTTTGTCACCAGGCTACTAGATATTTCACAATATTGGTAAAATGATTATGAAACGTGATGATTGTTTTATTTATATATAGGAGGGGAGTAGTATTAGAAGTGAAAAAAAAAATTATATACATACCACGCATATATCCTGAGGTGCATAGCGCCGAGGGATAAAAAGTGCTCGACCTATAATGTACTATTTTTATTGTGAAGAGCTATGTATTCCATTTTCTATTGGGATATGACAATGATCAAATGTCTGCACGGTTTCGCATAGTGGCGCAATTCGGATAATTCGTTTAGGTGTTACTTGTGTTTAGTCACAATTGATAGAAATGGCAGGAATTATCAATATACTGGTTTACATGGTTTCTTAATAGAAACTTATTTTGCCGCATTATTTCAATTTTCGTCTGGGACAAATTTGTAGAAATGTTAAAAAACTGATGGTATGAAACTTGAGAAGCAGTGTTACCTCAAAGACTGAAGAGAGGGCACACACTCTCTCCCTGGCACCTCCCTGCGGGCGCATGTGGGAGTTACCCGAGTTGTCGCACTGTTAACGCGCTTTCAATCTGCACTCTTGAGATACGATAAACTGGATCTAGGCTACTTAGATATCACTTCAATTTCACAAAAGTTTAGTTAATGTTGCATTCCAGTAAAAATAATCAACTAACTTTACATAAACTAACATTCACATTTTCTCTCGGCACTGTGCTGTCTCTATGTTAAGTACATACTTTAGCTTTTGAGCACAAGGTTAATAAGCCATGATTTGTAAAACGGGTGCAGAGCGAAGTTACCAGTAGCATTTTCGAAACTCCCAGAAACATTTGAAACTTCTGTTTTAAGTACCACGTTACAATTAATTACAAAATACTTAAAGTATCTATGTGTCCATTTTGTGTTTCTGTTATCTTCAAATGATATAACCACAATTCAAATAAAAAATAACTATCACAGGTGCCCGTTTTTGCGTCACGGACTAACGAATTTTTCAACATTGACCTGTCCTTATTGGAATACTCTTTATTATGTTATGTTTTTATGAGTAGGTGGTGCGCTCTCAGTTCCAACAGCAGTCTCCACAGCAACAACAGCAGGCTGGTGTTATTGGTCAACAGATTCTGATAAATCAGACATCTCCACAAAACCATCCCCAACGAGCTCAGATTGGCCAACAACTGTGGGGACAACAACCTGGACAACAAATTATAAGGCATCCTGTTAGTGTTGTACAACAGGTAATTTTTTATTTATCAAGAACTCACGGTCACGATAGCGTGGTGTAAACGTAGAACGTTTTTACCATTTTTTAAGTCATTTTCAGAATTTTGATTGAGATATATTTCTTTTACTTCTCACCCCATTGGCGAGGAATTATTGTAATCCCGAAAAATAGCAAAAATAAGATATGTTTTATGGATATATCTCAATTTTTTAATTCTACGCACATATTAGGCACATTTCACTCACTAGAGATGTCCACGTACATTTACCCTTAAAACTTCGCTTAGCGTAGGGTGTTGATACGTGCGACGTGGTCCCTGGGATGGACAAGCGTCGTCGTCGGTGATCGTACGTCACAGTCGGCAATCGCTTCCGCAGTGCTGTGGGTTGAGATGTGTACACTGTGCATGGTAAAGGCCAATATCGTCATTCACACGGGATTGGTCATCGCACCGATCAAGTGCGCCTGCAGCAATTTTTCCAAAAACTGATTTTCTTTGTTATATCTATGTTTACATTTATTTTTAAGGGTGCTCCCAGGGTACAGTGGACGACAAACCAAGGCGGTGCGGTGCCTCAGAGGCAGTTTATCCAACTGGATGCGAGAACACACAACCAATTACAAAAGATGCCTCCAGAGGAGCAGGCTCTTTTTGTAGCTAAACTACAGAGGCAGAGACAACAGCTTATTAAACAAGTGCAGCAGAGAGGTGGAAGTGGTGGACATATACTTATCAGAGGTTAGTATTTAGTTGCCTCTTGTATCTATAATACTATACAAGTGGCAAACATTCCTGGAGTGAGCTCTTTGGAGTATTCCAAGATTATCATCTCCTATAGGAGAAAAATTGCTTTGTTTTGTTGGTAAAATTTTCAGAAGCACCATTTTTTATTAGCGAAATTCGTAGGTAAAGTTTTTAAACCTACAATTTTCAAAAAGACTACTGTCAGCTAGATCTGCAAAGTCTGCCGTAAATATTCTTTCAATGCTTAGTATCTTTGCAACAAAGCTGTTTTTCAGAAATATTTAATGGACAAAATAGTTTAAGAATGCAACAACAATTTTGTTTTAGAAAACACCCTGTATACCAACGTGCAAATCCGACGTTTGTTGAAACCGCATAATTGTTAAACACTAAATACTGTAGTCTCCAACGAATTTCGTAAGTTGTCAAAAGAATATCGATCATTAATAAATACAAGAAAAAACCATAGGTTTTTTATGTGAATATGTCTCTCAAAAAACGAACGAAGAAATGTACAGCTTTTTATCCACTGGGATCCTTCCAGGTATCTAAAAAAACTCAACGTTCTTTATATGTGTATATGTGTCTCAAAAAACGAACGAAGTAATGTACAGCTTTTTATCTACTGGAGACCTTCCAGATATCTAAAAAAGTTCAACGTTCTGTTTATTACTATTTTACTAAATGGAATCGTTCGGTATGAGATGTGGCAAAATTCAAACGCGTGGGAAGTACAATTCACAAAATTTATAATTTCAGGCAATGTTCCTCCCGGGCTAACAGCCCAACAGCAGGTACAGTGGTTACAACAGCAGGCCAAGCAACAGGGCATCGTTCTACCCCCAAACATTCAGCAACAGCAACAAACTGTCGTTCCGGGCAATTCTCCAGTCGCGGGTGCCCCCCTTGCTGGGCAGCTGCCTAATCAGCAACCTGTACCTGGAGCACCAGGTCTTAGTCCTATCAACCAGGTAATCTGTTTTAAAAATATATTTATTCATGCTAAATACAGTATCGGACAAAAGGTTGGAAGCATTCTTAGTGATTTTTAAAAAGTGCGCTAAATTTCATTCATTATTATGGGTCATTTTTTTCTCATATAGTTTGCTTAGTTTTGAGTAAACAAATGACAATTTGTGTGTTGCGGTGGTACTACAGACTAGCATTAAAATACCTTCATATTATTTTATGACCCAACATGGGACAACAAAAGTATGGAAACATATTTTTTATTACAAAATTAAATACAATAGCTCTACAAAAAGATTTAAAAGATACTGTTTAGCTAATATTAGGTAACATAGCCTTTAGCATTCAACACTGCCTGACATCTGCTGCTCATAGATGAACCAATTGTTTACAGGCGTTTGTTGGGATATTTTACCAAATATTTTGTACATACATCAGTCTCCTGATCAGTCGCCGTGCGCTGTGCGGGTTCGAGTCCCGTCCCAAGAGAAATTTTTCTTTTGGCTATGGATGGTGTGATTGTCCGTAGGTGGTAGATGGTCTCTGACTGTCGAACGCGGAGGTACCACCCGGCGGTTCTCGTAGGCGGATCCAGAATATGTGCATGTTGCATGCACACGTGTTCCCTCGCCAGAGTTCGTGTGGCGTCCCCCCCCTTTCCCATGTATCCCCTTATAGCCCCACGGTACCCAATGGGTGCGTAGGCCTTAGGCCTTCGTGGTAGTTGGAGTATAAAAAAAAAATCAAATAAACCGCTCCTATTTTTTTAAGTTTTTCTTGACAGTTGTCTTTTAAAATGCACCCAGAGATGTTCTATAGAGTTTAGGTCCGGGGATTGCGAAGGCCATGTAAGAACATTAATATTTTTTAGTCTTAACCAGTCCTTAACAAATTTTGAGGTTTGCTGGGGGGCATCATCTTGCTGGAATATCCATAGTAAAGGCATTTCTTCTTCAGCAAAAGGGAGCATGTGTTCACTAAGAATATCTTTGTAAAGTTTTTGATTCTTGATATTTATTAATAATTTTCGAAATCGTCCCTTTGTTCATTTTTACTCTTTGAGAAATGTCAACATTTCTGACACTACTTTCAAATAATTACTTCAATTACTTTGTCTCTTTTGAACATTCTTTTACTTTTGTCATTCTCACTGATGTTAATATTTACCGCATGCAATATCAGAGCATCGCAGAACGAACACGGCAAAACTGAAGTGTTTCTCATAGAATTTAAATATAAATATTCATAAGATAAACCTTGTATTAGTACGGGAGACAAAGGTAGACTGTAATATTTATATTATATGTTCCTTCATAATTTTAATTTAGGTATATGAAATAGTTCATAATAATGTTGTTTTCAAACTTTTGTCCGCTATTGTATAGACTGTGAATAAATCCATATACCACAAAAGAAAAATATCTTTGTGCATCGGTCTTGTTACAACACATAATACAGCGGTAAACAGTCTAAGGAATTGGTAAGGACAAGAAAAAAGTAGACATAATACAGTACCTTTGTAGATCAGTAATGCAGAAAGTATATAAGATGTTTTTATGCTGGAATTTTTATTAATCACATCATTTCTGGGTCTGTATCCAATAGCCATTAGGTACCTTTTACACTCTTTTTTTTCGCGAGTGATATTCGTGGCATGTGGAATCTTGAAATTTTCAACAGTTTTCAAGGCGGTTTTTATTTTCATAATGGATAAAATAATTAAAAAACGTAAAATAAGAGCAGCTTTGTGCTTGACTGTGTATCTAAATATTCCAAATAAGAGACAAAGAAAATATTTGGTGAAAACATGGTTGGAAAATCGCAACAGATATGGACATTTGCCTCTGCTCGATGAGTTGCGTGATAATTTTCCATGGATTTTAGAAATTATTTGAGAATGGATTCTGAATGAATTGGAATGTTGTTAGATTTGGTTTCTCCAATGATTTCTAAACAAGACACAAAATTGCGTGAACGCATAAGTACCGAAGAAAGACTAACAACTACTACAGGTCGTTCGGTTGAAGATTTGAAATTTTCAAGTGGAATAATCGCACCATCTTTATGTAAAATTATACCAGAGTCACGTAAAGCTATACGTATATGAAGTATTAAGAAAAACATATTTACTAATTTGTCGTAAGCAACATTTTTTAAATTTCTGTTTGTATATTCTCGGGATTTGATTTTCCGTAAGCATGGATAAGATTTATGTATTTCAAAAAACTCTGAAACAACTTCTTTCGACCAATATCGTGAATCTGCCATATTACCTACCTAACAATTAACATGATTAAAACTTTGTATATGTATACGTATAATTATCAATAAAATACTTACCCTCGCTAGAATACAGCTTATGCACGATAGTCTGTGCGAAAGTAAAATGTAATCAAATGTTTTACCTGCACGGAAATCACAGACGACGAAAATGCGAGTTTGAATACGTCTAAAACGAGCGATTATTTTTCATTTACACTGGCATGCTTTCGCACACTATTGGAACGGGCCGTGCCAGTCCCGCAGGAAAGTGTGTAAATAATGTAGATATTTTTTGATACTTGCCTAATGAACTTGAGAAACTATCAAAGATTCAAGAAAATATATAAAACCTCATTAGTGATATTTATGACTTGAAACCACACTTGCTGAAACTTAAAACTTCTGAGTAATCAAAAATGCATTTTTGCACGAAATTTGGGGGGGATGAAGAAAGTTTTGCTTTTACATCGAAAAAAGATAAGGTATTAAAATAAAAAATGTGTCTGGGGAAGTCCAGGACTTTTTAGTCTTAATGTGGCAATGTTGTTTTAAAAATCGAATTGTCTCGAAAAACCATGTCACTCATTCCCATTGATTTGTATGTCTGTCTGGTAAATCTGAATAACGCTGAAGGTACTGCTTGGATTTTCCAGAGATTTTTATAAGGTACCTCTATGTCAAGGTCAACTGAAGTTTGAGTATTTGAATTTAATAAATTGAACAATGATATTAAACAGTGTTCGAATTTAAAAATGTTTAAGGTAAAATTAAAAAATCGCCTTATAAATACTCAGAATATATGGTTATGTAATTTTAATAGACAAGAATGTAAAATTACAGAAAATTGATACAAAAAATGAGTAAACGAACAATTATACAAAACTGACATTGTAGCATTAAGGGGTCGTTCAGGTATTACGAAAGCAGATTTATTACAATTATTTACCCCCCCCCCTCCCCCCAGTCAGCAAAAGTTAGCAAAGCTCTTACCCCCTCCCTCCATGCTTACGTAAACATTTGTCAATTAATGTATTGTTTTTTTAATATAATAATTATAACGTTATAATTATAATTTGAAAAATAAGAAAATCGATTTAGGATAGAGATTATATTTTACTAATACAGTATTCAACATAGAGTAAAGGACAAAAGTATTATATCTTACTAACATAACAAACTTTAAATTTTTGGTACATATATTAAATTCAAATTAAGTCTTCAGTCCATGAAACCCGAATCCATGATTCTAAGTTTTCGATGACATTGGATTGCTTCGATTGCTGCTCAGTGTTGTGAGTTTGCTCACTTTCATCGGATTTTGGAATGGCTACGTCGTTCTCATCGAGCCATTCAACATCTGGTGCTCTAAATTTTGAATAATGCACATCAGTTCATTAGCACGACGAGCGGCGACTCTTACAGGTCTAACTTTCCTATCGGTGTGCGTGTTTACTTTTTTATGGATATTTTTGATGTGACGATTTAGTGACTTGACGGAAGCATGATAAAGACTACACGTTTTGCATGTTCGACTTGATAGCCTCAATTTTACCGTCGGACAAAAATAATCGTAAGGCATTTGCAGGAAATCTTTGAGTTAAGCACTTAAGCGTAGAGCTAAGTTGACTGGAAGATTAATAAATCTAGTAATCTAAATAGGCCACTTCTTGGATGACAGCATTCTGTATTTCTACATTTTACAATTTGAAGCAAGTATTGGCTCTCACGCACATGTTCTGAATACCATTTAATGTCTGAAAAATCAGGAAGATCTTGTTCACCTGCCCCAACATATTTTGCATTAACATTATAGCCATCAACTTCCATTGAACTCCATACTTCAACTAATACATTTCCTACAAATTCGAAATTAGATCTTTCTAAATGTTCATCAATTGTAACGCTACGTTCATCCAAATGAGACCCAAAATGGTCATGAGGCAATATTAAACCAGCCAGTTCCCATCTAAGAGGAGCCATTCTGCGCTCTACTCTGTTATACGCACTTCTTCCAGGAGCATTGGTAGCTAAAAACAATGCATCGAGATCATGTCGCTTAAAGTGTTGTATAGCAAACCCTATGACTTTTTGATAACGTGGATTTTCATCTGGCCCTCCTTCAACCGTCATGATTACCACTGGTTTTACTAGTTCATGGTCAGTTTTAGCTAATGGTCGAAACTCTTCAAGTTCGAGAAGCGTCTCGAAATCCTGAGCATGAGTATTAGCAGTAGATGAACTATGCTTTCCACTTCGAATAGCGATGTATGTTGGTCCAGAATATCCAACGGCTTGCGGTTGTCCTAGCATATTGGAAGTGATTTTGATAACAGCATAAACAGATGGTATTAATTTATGATGCTCAGCGATTACCCAATCGTGATCAGGCAATTTGATTCTATATTCCATGTGCATTAGAAGAAGTGCTTGCTTATTTACCGCAGTTACGCCAATAGGGACTCGAGCTTTATCATCTTGACATACGAAAAATACTTGATCTGCTCCAAGCATGGATGCTATGTTCTCTAAATAATGGAATGATGTTTCAGCGAACTTGATATCTAAGTGGCTCTTGTGGTGATCAGTTTGAGCCCGAATGAGCTTAACAGGAACTGTCGATACATGTCTCCGTCCCTCTGCAGAATTAGATTTTCTGGGAATCAAACGAAGATATGTCCCACTGCGATTAATGTCAAATCCTATTTCACGTAATTCTTGTGTAAGTTCATCAAGAGTTTTTACGCTGCGAATTGATTCCGTTCGTCTTCTATCATCTGCTGCACTCCCAAATAAAGCTATATCCGCGATTGTTTTCAATAGTGAATGTTGATTGCTTTCAAGAGTAGGACGTCCCACTGAATCCCTCAGAGATGCTTTTTTTATTTCTGGATTTTCATGACAAATATCTTCTAACTTTCTTTTCATATCATCCCTGTGTTTCTTCTGGACAACTGCGGTTTGAACCTTCCTGTTTAAATACTGTTTTGCTGTTTTTTATTTCCTCGCGCAACTTAATGATCTGTTTATCAACTTCAGCAGGGCTTGGCATAGTATCTCTGGCAGAATACAAAGCATTCAGATTTTTTTCGAGTAGAGCAATCTTATTTTTCATAGCTTCCTGAGAAGGTTTTGATCTCTGTTTATCTGTATTTTCATTAATATCGCATTGCTGTTGTGATTCATTACCGCGTTTTATTTTATCTTCTTCCTCTTTTTTAATATTTGAAGCTGACTGTATAATTTGTGTTTTTTCTGCTGGTTTACAGGTTGCCTAAAAATAAAAACTTTCTATGGCTTCTGCTAAAGATTCTCTTATTAAGTTACATAAATACAAAGTATGGCAATATATATGGTAAATACAAAACCCTATACCTTTAAATCTAATATGTTTAAACGAGCAATTCGTTCCGGTCACATTCAATACAGGGTGTTAGTTTTCTGTATATATGTATAAAACACATCCTGTACTTTGTGACCAATTGACGGAATCACTCATAAGAAATAAATCTATAATATAATGAATATTACCTCTATACTTTGAGATAGGCCATAATATTTTCTAATCTGTAAAGAGAAACTTTTTGGCGATTTCTAATATTTCTAGTACTCATAGGTACCTAAAATAATTTCGTCACTCACCCTAGAAAACAAATTTAGTAGATTGGATTTATTCTTAGTCGCCGCTTGCAATTCTTCTTCGATTCTCTTAGATACAATAATATCTAGTTCCTTGTCGGATTTTGCTTATAATTTGTAATTTCGCCACACTTCGTTAACTAACTTTTGTACTTTCGTACTTGTATGAGTTTTTTAAAACTTTCAAACAATTTTTTGTATAACTTGGATTTGTCTATGTGAAACGACATCTTATTTAAACATTAAACTTTGGCTAATGGAATCAATGGTAACACAAATGTTAACTTGCTTTACTATGCTTACAATACGTCTACTCGCTATAGTATCCAAACGAAACAATACACTGATAGAGGAAATTTAGACATGTGAACACCGCGCGGTAATTCCCCTACTCGGTTCTAAAGCGAGTAGGGGAATTGCCGCGCGCTGTTCACTAAACGTATGCATTATTTGTGAGAATCCCCGAAAATGCGTTTCGTTTTCAAGCAAAGACAATGTGAGGGTTGCCATTCGTGTAAAAAAGTAAATAACTACCGATGACGTAATCATCATCTAGACTCCCCTACCCCTCATGTCATCCAAAATAAGCAAAGCAAAGACCCCCCGACCCTCCATAGAGCTCACGTAAGACTTGAACGTCCCTAATGTAGTTTCCACAAACAAACAAACTTCATTTATTCCACTTTTCAAATGTATATTTTTTGCGTAGTATGTTGCGACAACGGTTCTGGGTCGAATTTCGCGTTCCCTAAGAGCGTTTAGTGTTTTCGGGACGATGGGCGAGGGTAACGTATCTGGTTCGTTCAAAAACCTACAGATAAACTCGCTTGCTTGTCGCCTTGTCGGTCTGGATGTCGTTTGGGAGCGGGAACGCCTACTTCAGGCGACACTGCTTTTCTGGTTTTATGCGGTGCCATCTTAAAATTATAATGATGGCTTCGCAACACATTGCATAGTAAGGAAGAAAATAAATAAATAAGCTGTTATTGAAATGCATAAAAACAAAATATCGTCGCATAGTAACCAGTGATTAAAACATATGTGGTAAAATTCGTTTCCAGGTGTTTTTTCAATTTCTGGTCTCATTAAGGCGCAGACAAATAATTTTATGAGGTTACATTTTTTTGAGATGTGCCTTCTGTCTATTACTATGCAAGTGAAAATGTACACGTTCCAGGGGCCCGCTCAACCTCCGCCACCTCAGTTTGCTGCTGCCAGTGCCGATCAAAATCAACAGCAACAATTACAACTTAGACAGTATCGGTTACAACAACTCCAGTTGCAAAGGGAACAAGCCCAGAAGAATCACTTATCACAGCAGCAAGGTATGTTTCTGACCTATCAACAAAAATTGTACTAAATCTTCAAAATGTCTCATCATCACTAATTATTATTTGGTGTCTGTAACTTATCTTTTGTTGCCGTGAATGCTGTTAAGTATGGTTAGATGAAAAAAGTGTACTAGTACGACTTGTTTGTATTGCGGAAATGATCTCGGAGCTAGGGCCGCGTGGAAATTACCAGCATAGATAGCATACAGATTCGACAGTTCCTGTCGGTCATTTTGATCTTGGTGTCACCAATAATAAATACCGATTACCATAGGCGCCTGCAGGAATTTTTTCCCAATGGGTGCAAATAAAAAAATTATGACTGTGCTCCTGAGGTAATCTACCTTACCATATCAATTATATGATACATTAATAATAATAATTCATGATTTTACTAGATAAACCTACTTTTGATATGTTTCTTAAGAAAAACAGCCTTAAAATGTACCGTACACGTTTCTAAGCGTGTATCCTGCTTTTTCGAAATCATTGTTTTAGTGAGTCACAGTCACTGTGACGTAAATTTTACAAACACAGCGTACTTTGGTTGCGTTTTTAAATCAGTTGGTAATATAATACCGTGCACTGTAATGGAACGTAGATTGACAGGTGTAATTTTACTTTAGAATACTGTGTAACTTTATTTTAAGAATGCGTCACATTAAATTATTACAGTCATGAAATGACACTTCATGACAGTCGACTAATTTCTAACCACCTTTTTTGGACCATTGTTTTTATCATAAAAAAACGCTATAGATACGAGGTAGCCCATTTATCACGAAAAATATATATTCTGTCGTCTGAGCACTTTTTGATGGGCAAATAAAGTAAACAAATAATTAACCACGAGAATGGCAAGTGACAAAACAGACGATGAGCACTGGCAAAAACAAGGATTATTTTATTCTATTTTCGAACGCTTGGAACCGGTACGTCAAGCAATTAACGAACGCTGAAATTGTTACAGAGTAGAACAAAGTGCACTCTGTAACGCAGCCCTAGTAGGGCTCTGTGCTAAAGTTTATTTACATTTCAAGAAACGGAGACTATAAGTGCTATTGGGCAGATTCGGTCGAGCCCATATACAGGATAAATGCTAAACCAGCAATTTACAGTGGTAGACGATACGGCGGTGTATGCAGCCTCGCCAACCTTGGCGTACTGAGTCCGATCATGTAAATATGTTTGGGTTTAGGTTCATTCTTTGATACATGGACTATAGTAGTAGCAGGTACATTGCATTTGGTATGATTTCCGTCACTGTCACTGTGATATTTTGTATGTCATACTATATATATATATATATACATTGGACGTCACGACCGGACAGCGCAAGTACGGTGGCCCGCCGCCCGGTTGGGAAGGCCCGCCGCCCGGCTCCGGGTGCGAAGTGTTTTGCGGTAAGATCCCCAAGGACATGTTCGAAGACGAGTTGATCCCGTTGTTCGAGCAGTGCGGCCCCATATGGGACCTGCGGCTGATGATGGACCCCATGACTGGGACGAATCGCGGCTACGCATTCGTCACGTTCACTACTAGGGACTCCGCACAGCAGGCCGTGCACAAGTTGGATAATTACGAAATCAAACTTGTCTTGTCATATTTTATATAATTTTAACCATTGTACCATGTATCCAGCTCTCACCATGTTACTGGACGTTTCCCTCATCCTATACGAAAACAACAATTAGCAACATCCTCACATACTACTGTAAGTTAATTCAATTTAAATTCATTTTACACTTTTGTTGCTACTTTTATCATTGTAATTGCAGCTCCTGATGATGATGGCAAAGTCCATTGAAAGCTAGAGAGAATTAAAAAAGTATAAAGAGTCCTCTTTGCTTAAATTTTGTCGAAGTACCCAACAAAAGGCGGAAGCTTTAATTTTTCACCTATATATATATATATATATATATATATATATATATATATATATAACTCAAATATCTTTCTTCAACGAAAACGTTTTTAAAAAGATTTATTTTTGAGAAAGACCAAATACAATGATGTTAATTGAATGAGTTCTGAATCGAGACTGACTGCAAAGTTCATTATACAAACCAAAGTAAAGAACAAATGAAATACAATACTGTAACTGATAAGAAAGGAACGTGGAGGCAAAAGTCCTTGTTCAGCATATTCTTCTCTGTAGACTGGTACATAACTCCTCCACCCCTAGAATGAAGCTTCCCCTGGAAGGTGAATTTCTTTCTTCTTATATCTTGAACTGGAATCTTCTCTTCTAGTGCGTTTTGTGGGACTTGGACCTTCTTCTTTCATCTCGGCTAATTCAATGTCGATTTCTAACTTGGATGCTTTCTTGTTTCTCCATCTTCTATATAAGATTATGCAGCAGATGCTTGAAAATACGAGATATAGTAATATGGTCCAAATACTGGGTTTTCCAAAATTTTCTATGGAATTTTCTTCTAAAATTGGTAACATTCGATTAACTTGTAATTCTGGTAAATTTAACGTTTTCAGAGTAATTTGTGTCTCTGGGATATTTTGTTTCATAAAATGGAAATCCATTTTGTCAGCTACGAGGGGCTTTCCATAGGTTTTGTCTTGAAAGATAAGTTCATTGTCTTGGAATGATATTTGGCATTCACTGGCTTTGACTAAGAAAATGCCAAGTAATGACTTTGTATCGATTTGTTCCTTGCATTTAATTTTCAATTTTTCTTCGGTGAGAAATACAGCTAAATACTGGTTAATTTCGGGAATAAATTCAATGTGATTTTCTTCAATCTGAAGCTTCGTGTATCTACATGGTTCTGTATGATCTTCTGTAATTATTGACTTCTCGCATTGGGCTTTGTGATTGGCTAATATACGATTAGGGCATTGATAGATTCTACCTTGGGTACAAATCTCGTGCAGGGGTTTGATCTCATTTCGATCAGATTTTAGCAAATACTTATAATTTGGGATAATAGTGACGAATTCTGATTTGTGCATCAGAGTCGGTATAGGTAACATATAATAAAGATCGAAATGTTCAGGATAATCTATAGGAATAGATAGAAAATAACTTATTTGATTCTCATCGATTTTACAGCTGATAGAAATAATAGATTCATAATCTAGCATATTTTCATACTTTACTTCAAATGGTAATTCATTTTTATAAAATGTGGATATCTTACGGAGTTCTTGAAATAATTCTCTAGTCCTTATTATACTGGGATGCATGGTTTTCAATTTGCAAAAAGTTATCGAATTTTCGATATCTTGTAAAATATTCAATATGGCATTATAAAGGATAATTAATTGATTGATAATGTCCTTCGCTGAAAGAATATCCTGGTTTGTTGTCTGGTTCAATAAAATATGTTTCAATTGTAAAATGTTATTTCTTAATGTCATCTCATTGTGCTGTATATCTTGAATAGTCCCGTTAAACTTTGCGACAAGTTCATTGTTTACTGAATATTGCATTCTCAGCTGATTTTGAATATGATGCTGATTTTCTTGTAAATGAGATAAAATTTTATCAATACGTTCTCCATCGTCGGAGTCTAAATTTCCTGTTATTGTTTTTACTACATAGCCTATGCCATTAAAAAGTCCTCTCTTATTGCGAGTCTTTTGAGAATGAGATTTAATGTATTCGATTTTCTCTTGAATCAAGCTCCTTATATAAGATACTATCTTACTATAATTTTCTAGCTCGTTATTAATCTTAGAATGGTTTCTATAACTATAGTTAAGATTACTGTATTGAATATTCAAATCTTCATATTCCTTATATAAAGGTGATAGATCATAATAGTGCACAAAAGTATGTTTTGTCTTTTGTAGCCTAGCTGTGCCTAAATTTACTGGCAAAATTCCTAAATTGTTCGTTATGTTTCTTATTTCTGCTCCGCATCCGAAATAGATGAGGTATCTGAAGTATTAGTAAATTTAAATTGATAAGTTTTCTTCCTGGGCCTTTTAATATTGGATAAATGGATATTTTTGGAAGTATTGGCATGTGTGGGATCTATCTCCGCTCTTTTTAATTTCTTATCTATACTAATTAATTTTTCTTGCTTATACTTATTTTTAGTTTTCTGTTGCTTCTGCTTATTCTTAACATATACCTTGTTAGGAATATCAGGCAAAACTTCACGTTTCTCATTTGCTTTATTTATAACTTTTTCTTTATTCTGTAATATCTTTTCATTTAAATTCCTATATACTAATTTCATTTTTTCCTTATGATTCTGTAAATAATTATTTAATAATTGCTTATCTATGTCTATATTAAAAGGTGATTCTGTTTCATTAACATTTACCTCTATTCTAGATAAAAAGTCCGCATTTGTGTTTGATTTACCTTTCCTGTAAACAATGTCAAAATCATGTTCTTCTAATCTTAAGCGCCATCTTAGTAATTTTGAACTAGCATCTCTAACTGAAAATAACCATTGGAGGCTTTTGTGATCTGTTACAATAGTAAACTTACGTCCGAAAATATAAGGTCTGAAATATTTTACTGCATATACGATACTTAGAAGTTCTTTTTCTGTCGTGCTATACTTTGTTTCTGAATCACTTAATGTTCGTGAGGCGTACGCTATTGGTAAATCTGAGCCTAATTTACCTTGGGATAATATTGCGCCGATTGCATAATTACTTGCATCCGTAGTTATCAAGAATGGTTTGGAAAAATCCGGATATTGGAGTATCGGATCATTTGTCAATAAAGTCTTGCATAATTCGAAACATTTAATATAATCTGCGTCATTGGGATTAATAATTGCATCTTTTTTCAATCTGATTGTCAATGGCTTAGTGATTTTCGCAAAATCTTTTATAAACTTACGGTAATAACCTAAAAGTCCAAGGAAGCCTTTAATTTGCTTCTTAGTTTTTGGTATTTTAAATTCTGTGATTGCCTTTATCTTATCGGGGTTTGGTTTCACACCATCCGCCGTTACAACATGACCTAAATACGATACTTCTTTTCTAAGAAATTCCGATTTGTCTAACTGTATTTT